GGGTAAGTACCTTGAATTTTACAGGCAGGACTGAGCCAACACACCTGGGAGTCAGTGTGGAAAGCACAGGGGTGGAGAAAAAGAGGAAAGCATAAAGGAGCAAAGTGCCAGGAACCCACTGAAACCTGGTGGGGTGAGGAGGCTCTGCCCTCTCAGAGGCCAGGAAGTGGGGGAGCGAGATCTCCAAGGAACTGGGAGGCCCAGGCTGACACCTGGAAAGCATCCTGCTGAAGAGAAGCTGACGCTTGCTTTACCATTTTCATCCAACCTTCAACTTTATTTTTTTTAAATATATTTTATTGATTTTTACAGAGAGGAAGAGAGAGGGATAGAGAGAAACATCAATGAGAGAGAATTATCGATGTGCCCCCAACCAAGGTACATGCCCTTGACCGGAATCGAACCTGGGACCCTTCAGTCCACAGACCGATGCTCTATCCACTGAGCCAAACCGGCTTTGGCCAACCTTCAACTTTAAATACTCACCATCAGAACTATGATATCAGAAGTTTATTACATTCTCCCAGAACACCCGGAATATAGGTTTAAAACTGTTGTTAAAAACTCCTTATACATCATAAGATTGAAAATGTTTGGAAACCGCTTCTTTCCGCTATTTCAGATAAATGGATGCCCCATCTCCTTCAAAAGCGATTAGTTTCTGTCCCAGGCTGAAAAGTCATCCTTGTTTCTAGCCAGAACTCTTGCAGCCACCATTTTATCACATTATCTCTAGTTCAGAACCAGAAGACAGCAGAACAGAGTCGGCTGATTTCCTCTTTATAATTCTCCCAACTCGTGAATAACATCATCCTTCCTTTACTTGCTTTTCAGGTCAAACACTCACAGACTCCTCTAACTTTACTCCCTAGGATGACAATTTTTTCCCAGAGCTGGGTAGGTCAGTGCTATGATCCATGTTTAGTCCATCCTCATTATTCATGGATACTTGTGAATTGACTACTCACTAAAATGTCCTTGCAGCCCCACAGTCAGTATCCATGTCATTAGTGGGCAGGTGTAGGGCAGTGAAAATTTTGAATCACCCTGTAAGTGGGTTCCCAACTGAAGTCAAACAAGGCTACACTCCACCTTCTTATTTCAGTTCTTCTCACAGTCTAGTTGGTGTCACATTTTTTCCATATGTATGTGCTTCTTGTTGGCGATTTCTCTGTTTAAAATGTCTCCCAAGCCTAGTGCTGAAGGGCTGTCTGGCGTTCCTAAATTCAAGAAGGATATGATGTGTCTAAGGGAGAACATATGAGTATTAGATAAACTTCATTCGGGCATTCATTATAGTGCTGTTGGCTGTGAGATCAATGTTAATGAATCAATAATATATAGCAGAGCAGGAGTCTTTGAACAAAAACACACATAAGCCGAAACTGGTTTGGCTAAATGGCGTTGGCTTGGAAACTGAAAGGTCCCGGGTTCGATTCCGGTCAACAGCATGTACCTTGGTTGCGGGCACATCCCCAGTAGGGGGTGTGCAAGAGGCAGCTGATCGATGACTGTCTCTCATCGATGTTTCTAACTCTCTATCTCTCTCCCTTCCTCTCTGTACAAAATCAATAAAATATATTAAAAAGAAAAAAATTACTTAAGAAAAACACACACACATATAAAACAAGGTTATGTATTTGTCGGTTGATAAAAATGTGTGATCGGAGAGACTCCCAGGAACCTAGTCCAGTGTTTCCTCCAGGAGCAATGGCTCAGTATTCACTGAGTCGGAGCTCACAGCACCTTTATAGAATGCACCTACTATGAACAAAGGGAATCGCCTGTATCTCCTATGTGCTCTGTATCCTTAAATGTCACAACTCGAAACAACACTCGGGAGTGTGAACAGCACGAAACATGGCGACACATTTTAATCCGTTGTAGTCATTATTGCTTTTGAAGTTCAAGCTGACCTGTCCTTGAAGCGTGGGAACGGCCCCGCCCCCGCCTGTAAGTGACTGCAGCATTGGCATGACCCCTTTCATCCTGAACAGCTTCTTTGTGTTCCCGCCACAACACGGTGGCCCAGGCTCATTGTGTGTAGTTCCTGCCCCGGACCTGGAAGGAATCATTTCCTTAAGGAGCCCGGCTCCTTTGAGCCTGAGGTGGAGTTAAAGAAAAGGGGTGAACTGTAGAGGACAGCTGGCCACCCGCTTCCTAGGGCCCCGTGCCCGGCCGCTACATCAGCAATCTGACGTTGGAACCAACTCAACCCCTGCTGACGTGGCATCGCCCCGGTGCCCGTGGCTCTGTAATTAACCCTCCACCCCGTGCAGCTTCCCAGCCAAGCGTTCGCTTGGCCTGTTACCCGATTCTGGAAGAAGACATCCAGGCAGACACAAAATAAAGGCTACTCCACGCCCGTGTGAGATGAGAGGAGGGGAGCGGGAGCACAGAAACCCCCGCTGTGAGCGTGAGCCCTCTGTTCTTAGGGCACCGGACACAGTCACTGCCTAGCTTCTTCTCTCAGGGATGTCAGCTCTCCTCCCAGTGAACCCGGCTTGGCCGGAGGTCTGCTTGTGATCTGTTTGAGAGAGCCATCTTCTGCCAGACAGTTCAGAGAGAAGGGGGATGCCGAGGCGAGCCACAGAGAGGAAGAACGGGGGGGGGGGGGGGGGTACTGTGCGGTGGTGAACCGCTGGACTTAGAACCAGGCAAACCTGGCCGGAGCCCTGGCTCTGCCACTAGCAAGTCACGTAACTGTCTACGTGTCGCTTTTCTCTTCTGGATGGGATAATGCTCTTTTATCTTGTGGCTGTTCTGAGCCAGCATCCTTAAAGTCCTAGCAGGCGCTCAGGGTAAGGCAGCAATCACTATTAGCATAGGCAGCAAAGGACACAAGTGTAACAAGGACGAAGTGCACAGGCTTTAAAAGTTAGACAAACTTGATTCAAATCCCAAATCCATCTCTTATCAGTGTAGCCTCAGGCAAGTCACTGACCATTCCTGGGCCTCGGTTTCCTCGTCTGTGAAAGGAAAATAAGTTTCTCCATCGTAGAAACTTCAGACCTGGAATGAATCTCCATCACTAAGAATTGTTTAAGAATTGAATTGTTTGTGTATGACATACTCAGTACAATGAGTCAGTAAATAGTGATGATGGTAATTGAAAGGCAAAATGAGGTGCCCGATTGAGAGCCAGCCTCCCGCTTTCTATTCAGCATAGAATCCTGTCAGTGCCGTACGAGGGTGGAGGGGAGCAGGCCTCAGTGTTGGTGAAAGTGACAATTCGGTAAATAATTTTAGGACTGCCTTTCATTGCATTCCAAAGACAGCAGCTCCTCCTGAGGTCACGACTGGGACAGAGCTTTAGACATCACGGTGAACACACTGAACAACAGCAGTGCGATGGGACAGGCTGGCACAGAAATAGCCAAGCAATGTATGAAAAGATGCATTTCCTTGATTATAAATAAGTCAGAGCATCATTTTATACACTTATGTATTTCTTGGACATTTGTTATCTTTTTTATATATATATTTTATTGATTTTTTACAGAGAGGAAGGGAGAGAGATAGAAACGTCGATGAGAGAGAAACATCGACCAGCTGCCTCTTGCACACCCTCTACCAGGGATGTGCCCGCAACCACTGTACATGACTTTGACTGGAATCGAACTTGGGACCCCTCAGTCCGCAGACCGACGCTCTACCACTGAGCCAAACCGGTTTTGGCAGACATTTGTTATCTTGCTGTCCATGTTCCTTAGATGTCCATTTTTCTATTGAGTTGTTTGACTTTTTCAACTTAAATTGTAGATATTCTTTACATATCCTGATACTAAATCACTTGATGGTCAGGTGAACTATATATTCTCCCACTTTGTGAATTGCCTTTTCACTCTCTTAAAGGTATTTTTAATTTTAAAAATATCTTAATTAAAAGTTCTAAATTAGTTCTTAATTTATTATTTTTTCCTTTTATGGTTAATGCTTTATGTGTTCTGTTAAAGTTTTTCCTAAACCAAAGTCGTTCTTCTTTATTATCATTTAGAGACTTTATTTTTCTGCCTTTATATTTGGGTCTATAATCCATCTGGAAATGAGTTATGCATGTAGCATAAAAATATGGATCACATTTTGATGTTTTCCATATGGATATTGAAAGGTGCCAGCCCAATTTATTTAAAAGACAACCCTTCCTCCACTGTTTTGCAAACCACTTTTAAATAAATCAAGTTCTAGCAATGTGTAGTTCTGTTTCCACACTCTATTGTGTTTTATTTCCGTTTATTTGTCTATTTTTGTGCCAATGCCACACCTCGTGCCAATAAATCTTAATATCCAGCAGAGCAGGGTCACTGGTTTTTCTTCTTCAGTGTTGTTTTAGCTGTCTCCTACTCTTTGCCTTCCTCTGTAGATTTTAGAAACAGAGTGTTGAGTTTCACAGAAATCAGTAGGGAGATTTTTCACTGAGATTACATTGAATCAATGTAAAGGAATGCACATCTTGACAATATTGAATCTTCCTATCCATGAAGAAGGGACGGCCCTCCATTTAAATAGATCTCCAATAGTGTACCTTTCAATCAAGTTATTTTATGTTTACTGTGAAGATCTTGAATGTCTTTGTCAGATTTATTCCTAGGCATCTTTTGTTGTTGTTATTTTTATAAATGGCATCTTCCTTAAAATTGTACTAGATTTCTCAAGCATAAATATTCATTTGACTCATATCTTATAAATTCTTGATAATTCTAATAACAATAGCATATCCCAAGATATTGGCTAGAGCCTCTGTGTTTCTATCGTTAGGTGAGCTGCCCAGTACATATGCACAACTGTATTCACCAGCCCAATTCTTGTGTTATTGTGCTAGTTAAATCCTCCAGAGCATCAGTCTGTGAACCAAGAGGTCATTCTCTCTCCTCATTGATGTTTCTATCTCTCTCTCTCTCTCTCTCCCCTCTCCTTTCCTCTCTAAAAATCAGTAAAGACATACATAAAAATTTTTTTAAAGCTACTACTGCTGTTATTCTTTCTTTTTTGTTTCACAGGAAATTTGCGAGAATCCCCGATTTATCATTGGTGGAGCCAACAGAACTGACATCTGTCAAGGAGAATTAGGTAGGAAGGTCCTTCAGGTCATATCCAGCCGAACAACCGAGGGGTAGTTAAAGGTATAATCCCTTTAGAGGAAATAAAGGGACTGTAACCTGTTTTTATTTTTCATGGATTTGGGGGAACAGGCTTTTACATTATTTTATGTGTGGGGATTGCTCCGTTTAAGTCCTATTCCTCCCACGTTCTTTGTTCTCTGCCATGTGTCACAGGAAGTAGGCCTCACTCCGCAGCCTCCCTCTGGAGTCTCACGAATGGGCACACATCCCACTCAGCAAGACAAAGCCCTGCTTTTCACTGTTCCCACCTTCCTCAAAAGGCAGCTCTGACACTGTCTGTGTACCAACGATGGCCCTTGGGAACATGGAATCTATATATACACACAGAACACATCACCAGAAAGAACACTTGTAACTGGAACTCTCGTTTAAATTGCCCCAGAACAATAGCTCCGTATTAAAGGAACCTTTCAGCCCTGGCCGGGCAGCTCAGTCGGATAGTGTTGCCCCAATACGCCAAGGTTGCAGGTTTGATCTCTGGTCAGGGCATTTACAAGAGGAACCAATGAATGCATGAATAAGTAGAACAACAAACTGACATCTCTCTCTCTCTCTCTCTCTCTCTCTCTCTCTCTCTCTCACACACACACACACACACACACACACACACACACACACACTGCACAGTGTCGCCTCTGACTACCTACAGTACTCTATCAGAAAGGAAGTTCAGGGAGTAAGAAAATGTCCCCATCTCATTCCATTGCCAGCAATGCCTTAGCGCCCCCTACAGTCTGGTTCCAGAGCAGCTGCCTAACAACTCCTTCCAACACAAACCGGCTTGACTGGTGACGCTCAGATGCTCTGTCTCCACTGAGGTCAGAGGGGGAAATGGACCCACATTGCAAAGATATGGGGCAGCCGAGACCGGTTTGGCTCAATGGATAGAGCGTCGGCTTGGGGACTGAAGGGTCCCGGGTTCGATTCCGGTCAAGGGCAATGTACCTTGGTTGCGGGCATATCCCTAGTAGGGGGTGTACAAGAGGCAGCTGATCGATGACTCTCTCTCATCGATGTTTCTAACTCTCTATCTCTCTCCCTTCCTCTCTGTACAAAATCAATAAAAATGTATTTTTTTTAAAAAAGATACGGGGCAGGGCGGAGTTCCTACAGGTGTTCTGAAGAATGGCCCACTTTTTACCTATAATACACTGAGGTCCAAAAAGGAAATGGGCTAACTTTGCAGGTGGAGGAGTTGCCTACCGCTTCCGGAAAACTCTCGGGAGGGTGTAAGGTGCCTGTGGATCGCACTGTCAGGGACCGCTGTGGACTCCCTCTCTGGCGGGCCTCGGTGAGGGCAGGTCGGGGGCAGGACGGGGACGTGGAGCAGCGTGGCCGGGCTGCAGCCCCCGCTTTGACCCGGGCCTCGCGTGTGCCTGCAGGGGACTGCTGGTTTCTCGCCGCCATTGCCTGTCTGACCCTCCACGAGCACCTGCTGTTCCGCGTCATACCCCATGACCAGAGTTTCGTCGAAAACTATGCAGGGATCTTCCACTTCCAGGTGAGGTCACGGACGGGCCAGCCGCAGTTCGCTGGCCGCGGGTCCCCGGCCTTGTCTTTCCGGGGCTCAGAGAGGCTGTGGACAGGGAGCCCCTCCGGCCTCAAGCCCGTGAGGGGGCAGTTGTTTGTTTCTGCCCTGCACACGCCCCCTCACACACCTTCAGCTGCGCCCCGGAAAGCAGGACCACATCCTGTTTGCTGGACTCCGGGGCCATGTCTGCCTCTCCAGCTGGCTGGCTGCTCTGTCATTACCCGCGGCCCCTGGGATACAGCATGGGGAATTCTTAGGGGAGGCCCATCCACAGCGGTGGCTTCTGTTTACTTGTTTCCATTTAAGGCAGTTCTACCCCAAGGCTGTCCCTCACCTCTCTGGGCTCTGGAAGGAAAGTCTGGTTAATCTGGGGACTGGGTCTCTGGTTTGGCCCAGAAATGAGACTGAGTTCCAGAGTCCATTCAGCCGTTGGAGATTTTCTGGATCCAGCTTGTCCTGGCACAGAGCCAAATCTGGTGCTGGCCCCCAACACAGTGAGTTCTGCATGTGGGGGTCTAGCAGGTACCAGGATCCTGACGCATCCATCTGTCTCCGGCCCTAAAGGCTCCAAACACCTTCCTTGATTGGCCTAAACCATTGGTTGAGGTATCTGCTGATCCTGGACCTCAGGACTAAAAGCCCCAGAAAAGTCTCTTCAGGTTCCGGGTCAGCGTCCTGCTGCATCCGGGCACCGGGGGAGGCAGCCAGGCCCTGGATTTTGTTTTTTCCCTGTGCCACCGAGCTGCTAGCTTCCCACTGATGTTTAAAGGGCCTGATATCTAAAGGGACATAAATACAAAAACCAAATAGAGTTTTGCCCTCTTATCAATAAGTGGGGGGACCAAGGGGGAGTGGGGTGGCAAATGTCATTAGAAGAAAATTAAAACTATATTTGAGTTTCTTCAATTAAAACAGAATTGTTCAAAAAAGAACAACATCCAGAATTGCAATTATTGGACAGTTTTCCTGCTTCGGTCAAAGTATGTTCTGGGCACATTTTCTCCCATGTGAATTCTCTTCTTCAGCAGCAATTTCTACCTTGTTTGCCATCAAGAAATACATAAATCAATACATCACCTCCATCTAGGCCAGCGGTCGGCAAACTTAGTAGTCCACAGAGCCAAATATCAACAGTACGACGATTGAAATTTCTTTTGAGAGCCAAATGTTTTAAACTATATAGGCAGGTACATTGTTATTAACTTAATTAGGGTGCTCCTAAGCTGGCCTTTGCTAAAAACTCAAAGAGCCGCACGTGGCTCAGGAGCCGCAGTTTGCCGACCACTGATCTAGACCTGTAGCTCTCAACCCTGGCTGCACATTAGAATCAGCGGAGATGAGATACTTAAAGATGCTGATACCCGGCCCCACCCCAGGCGTGCTGAGCTGGAGAATGAAAATCCCAAGTGCTCAGATATCCGTGGGGCACCTGTGCTCCCCAGGCCTGGGCTGGGCTCTGTGGAAGAGACAAAGTGGTTTGTAACTACTTCCCGCCCTCAAAGAGCTCACAGTCCACTTAAAAAAGATTCACCCATCCCAAGCCCAGAACAGTGTGAACAGGCACCAAGACGCAGAGCTGAGGACGTGGGTCTGCTGTGGGGTCAGAGGACCCCGGTGCCCCAAGGGGTGTTGGGCAGGACCCATTTCCCAGCGGTGACCTGAGCCTGGGGCTTCCGTGCAGTTCTGGCGCTACGGAGACTGGGTGGACGTGGTTATCGATGACTGCCTGCCCACCTACAACGACCAGCTGGTCTTCACCAAGTCCAACCACCGCAATGAGTTCTGGAGCGCTCTGCTGGAGAAGGCCTATGCGAAGTAAGGCCTCACTTTCGAATGGGAGGCAAGTCTGGAAGTGAGGAGGTGGGCTGGAACCCGGCCAAACTCTCACTCATGATGGGAGGCATGCATGTCTGCGCATGTGTGCGTGCGTGCGTGCGTGTGTGTGTGTGTGTGTGTGTGTGTGTGTGTTCAGCTGTGACCCAAAGTCAGAGACTATCGAGTCCAGGCAGAAAGAGCTCTAACGAAAACGATTACGTTTAAGAACAGGAATGATGACAAACATAGAAAAGCTTTAGCTATCCTTTAGCTGGAGGCAAGTGTCTGTCTTTGCAGTGGCATTACAAGTCCTCGATCCAAGCGCTATATTTCTGGAGCTCAGATCCCAGGGTCTCGCTTGGCTCAACCTCATGAGCTTGCAGTATGTTAACAAAGCCCTGTTATCGCTCAACCTGGAAGACCCCACGCCAGCTACGGGGGGCTGTAATGAAACCCTACCTCAGGGTTCAGGGTTATAACGGAGAGAGAGCTGTCGGGGAGTGGGAACAGCTAGTTTCCGGTCCCAATGCTCTGGCTCCCTGTGGCCTTGGGTGTGTCCCGTAGCCTCTGGGGCTCAGTTTTTCTCTGTGAAGAAAGGGAATTGTAGTTCCGATCCATTAGCCGATAGGGTTGTTGGAGAGTTGATGAGAGAACATCACGGGAGGCAGGAGTAAAGTTCTGGTGGCAGCGTTGCCTGGCTTATGTTTCCTGGAACACCCTGTGGCCCCAGATGGCTCTTCCTCCTCTCTCCAAGGCTGCATGGTTCCTACGAAGCTCTGAAAGGCGGGAACACTACGGAGGCCATGGAGGACTTCACAGGAGGGGTCACGGAGTTTTTTGAGATTAAGGATGCTCCCAGAGACATGTACAAGATCATGAAGAAAGCCATCGAGAGGGGCTCCCTCATGGGCTGCTCCATTGATGTGAGTCTGGGGTGCGGGGTGCCGGGCAGGGAACAGCCACGTGTCGGAAAGCCTTACCCGGTGACCGGCAGCATAGGCCCCTCCTCTGGGACCGGCGAATCGTTTGCTTTCCGAAGCAGGAGCTGGCTTTCAACTTGGAAAACTGGGAACTTCTCAAGGTAGAGGGGCTCGTGGGCATGTCCAATGAGGAGATAGGACAAGGACATAGCAAGCTCTGGATACAGTCCAGAGGCCTGTATCCGTGTGGGTCTCTGCGGTGGGAACTGCTCAGTCCCCACACGCCCCCATGGAGCCGGCCACATGCCTGGCGGTGGGCCTGAGCCCACTGGGTCCTTAAAGCCTCTCTGTCACTGGGCCCTGTGCTGTTGCCTGGGAGGAGCTCAGCCTGCGGTCCCCTCTCAGCGTAACGAAGTGGTTTGAACTGAGACCAGAGGCAAGGGTGAGGAGATGGCAGACGGGCCAGGCCTCCTGAGTGCCAGGAGACACGCCTGCCTGGGCTGCTCAGGGTGAACGAGTCCTGGTGCTTTCCATGCTGAGGAAGAGGCCCGAGGGGAATTACTATGCCTTCCTCTCCCAACACTCGCGTGGCTAGGAAAGGGTGGGAGATCAGCTGGCATAAGACACCCATAGATGCACATGTCCTTCCTGAATCACTTTTCTCCGTGTTTTCTCCCTTCATGCTGTTTATCTCTCCTCTCTTCCTTTGTCTGTCTCCTCCCTTCCTCCGGTCTCCTTCCCTTGTTATCTCCCTCCTCTGCTCTCCTCCTGGACTGTCCCCTGCCCTCCCCATTGGGCCCCAGGATGGCACAAACATGACCTATGGAACCTCTCCTTCTGGGCTGAAAATGGGGGATTTGATTGCACGGATGGTGAGGAATATGGATAACTCGCTGCTCAGCCGCACAGGCTCAGATGACAGACCGACCCGGGTGTGTACGCCTCCAACGTCGGAATAACCACCCTCTACCCTGCATGACCCGGCCCTGTTGGTGTCACTCTCCCCTCAGCAGCCAGTGCCTCACACACAGGCCCCACCGGGGGCCTTCCACGGGTCTGAATTGGAATAATTTGCCTGCTCCCAGGCTCCTGAGGGTGGGAGAGACAGGGTTTGGAAGGGATCTCTAGGGGAGCGCCTTCTCTATGGTGCAGGCAGTTTCTCTGACAAATTAACAGGAAGAAATACAAGAGAGACTTCTTGTATTAAATGTCTCTCCTCTTTCTTTTTAAGAAATATTTTAATTGATTTCAGAGAAAAAGGGAGAGAGAGTGTGAGATATAAACATCAATGATGAAAAAAAAACCACATCAATGATGAGAGAGGATCATTGATTGGCTGCCTCCTGCATGCCCTCTACTGGGAATTGAGCCAGCAACCCAGGCATGTGCCCTGAGCCATGCCGATCAGGTTCTCCTCCTCTAATTCATTCATTCACTCATTCTACACACAGTTATTGAGCTCCTACTAGGTGCCAGGTACTCTTCCAACAAACAAAGAAAATTCTCTCCTCTTTGTTCACTGTTCTAGTGAACGAAGCAAAGTCACTCCCCTCATAGAGCTTAGATTCTAGTACTTTCAGAATTAATACCATGCTCACTGAGGAATATCGAGCCATATAGCAAATCAGAAGCAAGATTAACCCATCTTTCCCCATCTAAAGGTAATATACTCAATTGACATTTGGTATATGTCCTCCCAAGATTTTCTCTATGCATACACTTAATCTAAATTTTTATTTTTTAATGTTACCATACTGTATGTACCGCTTTGCACCATGATTTTTTTAAAAAAACGTAGTTTTAAACTCTTAACGTGTCTCCTACAATATTTAAGAGTCTTCTCATGGCCAGAGGCACACTGACAGGGCGTGGAGGAGTGCTCACCCTCACCAAACCCAGGAAATGCACCGTGTGAACTCTGTCTTGGGCGGCAGAACTTTTGCCTCCAGCCCTGACAGGCGGCCTGGGTTTTGCTCCGCAGACCATTGTTCCGGTTCAGTACGAGACAAGGATGGCTTGTGGGCTAGTCAGAGGACACGCCTACTCCGTCACTGGGCTGGATGAGGTGAGCCTGGCAGCGCGTGGTGGGATGGGACTGGAAGAGCCGCTTGGATTAATCTCCTGAAGTCAGGACTTCCTCTGCCGCTACAGCGCCTGCCTTCTCCCAGGCAGGGGATGCGCTCAGGGCTCAAACCAAAGGCCTGGGCCTGGAGGGGACCAGGGGCATTCGCAGCATCTTGCCACTAGATGGTGCTCAGTTGAAAAGAGAGCCATTTCCCCTACATTTCCAAATAGAAATCACTTTGGTTTTATGACGTTGATTTCATGGGTTCTCATGCTTCCTGTTCTTCCACGGCCAAAGAGTTACAGTGCTTTCTTTGCTCTGGAACATCTGGCCTTTAGTAGCCTTTACTGCATCAGAGGCAGGCTCCTGGTCAGACTGGCTGTGCGTATTTGGTCAGGCTGTGCCCTCATCTGGGGCAGCACTCACCACGGACTGGAGGCAGGGCACCTTGCTCTGATTGGTCCATCTAGAGGGGACATTTGTCTGTGCCCAGGAGGGGCACTTTTCCTAGTTCACACAGACACCAAACGTGCTAGCAGAGCCCTCAGTGTATGCCCTGCCTGCTCCCCCAAAGCTCATAACAGCCAGATGTCCACCGGGGAAGTCCCTTTTGAGATGTGAGGCCATGGCTGAGCCCTGACTGCTGAGGGCTCAGCCCCAAGGTCCTGACCCCTCACCCTGCCATTCCAGTCCCCTGGACCAGGACCAGCAGGACAGCCCCCCTGTGGGGTTCTCTCCCCTCCCCACCCCAGCCCTCAGGGCAAAACCGAAGCTGCCTTTCCAGAAAGGCTCCAGAGCGTGAGAGCTTTTTCTCTTTTTGCCCAAGACCACGTTCAAGGGTGAGAAGGTGAAGCTGGTGCGGCTGCGGAACCCCTGGGGCCAGGTGGAGTGGACGGGCTCCTGGAGTGAGGGGTAGGTGCGGGGACTCCGGGGGAAGGGACACAGGCCTGGGACAGGCTGGGCCGGTACAAAGCCAGAAGAGTTCTACAGAGGTTTGGTCTAAAATCACCTGCAGCTCTGGCTCAGTCGGTTGGAGTGTCACCCTGAGCACCAAAAGGTGGTGGGTTCGGTTTCCCATCAGGGCACACACCTAGGTTTTGGGTTTGATCCTTAGTTGGGGCAGGTGGGGGGCGGGGGCGCTAGGGAGCAACCAATGGATGCTTTTTTTTTTTTTAATATATTTTTTATTGATTTTTTACAGAGAGAAAGGGAGAGGGATAGAGAGTTAGAAACATCGATCAAGCTGCCTCTTGCATACCCCCTACTGGGGATGTGCCCACAACTAAGGTACATGCCCTTGACCGGAATCAAACCTCAGTCCCCAGGCCGACGCTCTATCCACTGAGCCAAACCGGTTTTGACCAATTGATGCTTTTTTCTCTCCCCCATCTTTCCTCTCTAAAAAAAAAATAAATAAAAAATAAAAGAATAAAAAAAAGCCATAAAAACACATGCTCAGTGAGGATTTTTTTTAATAATAAAAAATAAAGTATAAAAACCAGTGATCCCCAGAAGAAAAGTGAGGATGTGGCTCCAGCGGAGGGCCTGGCGAGGAGCCAGGGGAGCCTGGGAGCCAGAGAGCTTGCTGGTGGCCATTGGTCGGAAAGGAAAGATTCTAGAAAGCATGGGTTAGGTCCCGGGAGGAGGGAGTCTCAGTGTGGGGTCTAGACTAGACAAGTGACGCCCCTTCTCAGCGTCCCTGCTGCCTTATCTGTAAAATGGGAACGATGTTGGCATTTGGGAGGATGTTGGGAGAAGATGTGATCGCGTCTGGAGAGTGCTTAGCCAGTGCTAAGGTTCCCTCTCCCTCATGACCCCACAGAAGGGGCACAGGCCCTTTGAAATAGCTTTACTGCTTCTCACTAAAGAGCAGCAGACTCGGGCGAGACAGCAAAATTTACAAACGGGAAATTTGCGATAAAGGCTCCAGAGCAAGGGCAAAGCCTTTATGGCCCCACCCCAACCACTGGCTCCTGGCTGTCTCACGGAATGAAGGGCAGCTCCCTGTCTCCTGTCGTTCCCAAGCGGGAGAACAGGGCTCAGCCGCGGAGGAGGACCACAGCCAGGCCCTTCCTCCAGCCCCTGTGCTCACCTCAAGGTACCTGCATCCCAGCCACGATCACTGGTTCATTCAGCTACTCATAGACTTAGCAAGTAGTCAGGGAGCACCCACTGAAGAGCAGGCAGCAGCGTAAGCCTGGGGATAGTCCTCCCTCACGAGACTGTGATAAGGAGCTGGCCCTGGTCTCCTCCTGTTTCTTTCACTTTGTCATCCATGTGACAAAGCCTTACTTCCTCGGAGTTGCATGTAACCTGGGTCCCGTGCTGTCTAGGGACTTAGAAATGAACACAGAGACACAGACCCTACCTCCGTGGGCCTTAAGGTCCAGCGGGAAGGACAAACACTAACCAGGATTGAGATAAGTGCCATGACAAGGTCACGAAGAGGGACCCCTCTCCTGGCTTGGGTAGGACAGGAAGGTACGAGAAGGTTGCCCTGTCGGAGTGGCATTAGAACCAGGCAGTGTGTTCTGGCCCTGGTGCCCCTCAGCGGCCTGCTCCACTGGCCCGAGTCACCCGGAGGGACCCTCACTGCGTTCTTCAGCCTCGGAGCTTGGTGCCCAGCCCTAACCCTCTTCCTGCCAAGCCCTCCACTGCAGGGACTGCTGACCGTGGGGCCTCAGCCCTCAGTCGCTGAAAGGGAGGCCCCCTTCCCCACTGCACCCCTCCTCCTGGTCTCTCATTTCCCCTCCAGCATTCCCTGCTTCTAAGCACTTCCTCACCCCTGACCTTCCCAGGGTCCACCCAGTTTGGTTTCATTCTCCTCAGATTGGCTGAAATGCAAATGTGCTTCCTTTCCTCCCTCTTCAGGAGAGAGTGTACGAAACTGCCCGCCTTTAGAAACACAAACTGGGCTGTAACCGGCTGGCAGGGGACAGGAGGTGCTTCTGTGCCTGGTCTTTCCCTCAGTAACTCAGTCACTTGTCCGAGGACAGGCACTGTTCTGCCAGTTTTGTGTGCATTATTACATGCACTGCTCATCGCAGCCCCGGGAGCGGATAGTAGACAATCCTTCCCCTTTTGCAGCTGAGAAAACAGAAGCTGAGCTGGTCCTGGTATTATTAAATTGGAATCTCAGAGCCCAACTCCTAGCTCTAAAGGATGCAGAGGAGTAAAAGATTCAGCCAGAGAAGGGCCAGGCCCTTTCCAACCCATTGAAGGCTTTGGTTCTAATCCTGAGGGGGGAGGAAAGCAATTACTGCCTTTTACAGTGAGGGGAGGGTTTTACAGTGAGGGGAGGGTTTTACAGCGAGGGGAGGGTTTTACAGCGAGGGGAGGGTTTTACAGTGAGGGGAGGGTTTTACAGTGAGGGGAGGGTTTTACAGCGAGGGGAGGGTTTTACAGTGAGGGGAGGGTTTTACAGCGAGGGGAGGGTTTTACAGCTAGGGGAGGGTTTTACAGCGAGGGGAGGGTTTTGCAGCTAGGGGAGGGTTTTACAGCAAGGGGAGGGTTTTGCAGCGAGGGGAGGGTTTTACAGCGAGGGGAGGGTTTTGCAGCTAGGGAAGGGTTTTACAGGGAGGGGAGGGTTTTACAGCGAGGGGAGGGTTTTACAGCGAGGGGAGGGTTTTACAGGGAGGGGAGTGTTTTACAGTGAGGGGAGGGTTTTACAGCGAGGGGAGGGTTTTACAGGGAGGGGAGGGTTTTACAGCGAGGGGAGGGTTTTACAGGGAGGGGAGGGTTTTACAGCGAGGGGAGGGTTTTACAGCGAGGGGAGGGTTTTACAGGGAGGGGAGGGTTTTACAGGGAGGAGAGGGTTTTACAGGGAGGGAAGGGTTTTACAGGGAGGGGAGGGTTTTACAGGGAGGGGAGGGTTTTGCAGTGAGGGGAGGGTTTTACAGCGAGGGGAGGGTTTTGCAGTGAGGGGATCAGGGCAGATCTGCATGTTGATGGTTCACACTGGCTGCAGTTTGGAGATGGGCTACTCTTTGAATTTCTTCATACTTCTCTGGTACCTCCTATGCCAACCCACATCAAGCCTTCCTTTCTCCCGCCCATAATTCTTCCATTTTTCCCTCCAGTTGGAAGGACTGGAGCTTTGTGGACAAAGATGAGAAGGCCCGTCTGAAGCACGAGGTCGCTGAGGAAGGCGAGTTCTGGTGAGTCCAGGACCAAGGAGGACCCCAAAGGGTACGGGATGGGGAAGGAACTGAAATCCCAAACCTCAATTCTCAGGCAGAGGCCGTCAGATTCCAGCTCTTGGGAGACCTGTTCTCCTCCAGCTGGAGGCCCAGCGCGGATGAGGTTCTGACAGGCGCTACCAGGCGGGGTCAGTGTGATGACTGAGCCAGGGGCCAGGACAGTGTCACATGGCTCCTGCCTCCCCTGTGCCCTCCACCGTGCACGCTGCTCCAGACACTTGCTCCCCGGCCTTCACAGAGCTGTTTTCTGAGTCTAGGAAGCTCTACTGACTCTGCTCACCCAATGCCCTCACCTTCACACAGGTCACTTCTACGCAGCCTTCAAGTCTCAGCTGACAGGGAACTTTCTTCAGGAACCCCTTGTCTTCTTAGGAATGGAATGAATTTATTTGTCATCCTCATCTCCCTCAAAATTGTTTGCTTAATTGCTCTTTCCTAACTCTCTTTTCTAGCTAGCCTGATGCCTGGGCCCCAGTGAGGGTCACGCAGCACGTTTTTGGAGAACTGAGTTGCTGCGAGCTCTCCCATGAAGGACACATGAGTTTGAGTCGTTATTGAAAGACATGACCGTTTGGGGGGGATGCACCGGAATGGGCGGGGTTTACCCTAAAATGGGGTGGACCGTGACCAAGATCTACTGGACCATTTTCCTGGGCTGTGTTAGCCCAGGAATCTTACCTTTCCAAGCCGCCATATGGGCCTCTCTCTTCTTCCTCCCTCTCAGGATGTCCTACGACGATTTCGTCTACCATTTCACCAAGCTGGAGATCTGCAACCTCACCGCCGATGCCCTGGAGTCCGACAAGCTCCAGACCTGGACGGTGTCCGTGAACGAGGGCCGCTGGGTGAGGGGCTGCTCCGCTGGCGGCTGCCGCAACTTCCCAGGTGGGAGCCGCTCCGCTCGGGGGGAGGGTCCCAGCAGAACAAGCTCCAGGCGGAACACTATTAACTCGCCTAACACATCATCTTATGGAGACCTTCCTGTTTTACTGGGAAGGGGACTGCCAGGCTGAGGAGTTTGCAATAGAAGGTTGGGAACGGCTTTTAAACAGGACATGGTGTCAGAATAATGCAGTGCATTGTGCTCCTACTGCTGAGAATGGGACGAGAGGGCCCAGTTAGCAACTACCGCAATGGTTCAAATCAGAAATGATGAACTCCCAGGCCAGGTCAGGGGCAGCAGAGGTGCGGGGAAGAGGGCGTAGGGGAGAAGAGGTTGGGGAATGTTAGGAAGGAGGAATGACGAAGGACTTCAAGATTCCCAGCTTGGGGCATGAGCAAATGGTGTCCGTGTTGCAATGTGTAAGGAACACAAGAGGAAAACATGGGTGTGTCACGTGTTTTTGGCGGGGTTGATGATGGGCTTGTAGGGAGGGGAGTTTAGTTTGGGACATGGAAAGTGTGAGTGCGATATCCAGGGAAGATGTGTAATAGAGAGCTGAGCGTATGGACAGCATGCTACTCAGTATGTATTTGTAGAAGGGAGGGAAGGAAGGAATCAAAAGAGAGACGGAGGCTGGGACCTATAGCTCAGGAACCCTCCGTGAGTGGAGGGCAGTGAGAAAGTGAGAGTGGATGAGACAGCCTAGGGCAGTGGTCAGCAAACTCATCAGTCAGCAGAGCCAAATATCAACAGTACGATGATCAAAATTTGAGAGCCAAATTTTTTAAGCTTAAACTTCTTCTAACGCCACTTCTTCAAAATAGACTCAGGCCGTGGTGTTTTGTGGAAGAGCCACACTCAAGAGGCCAAAGAGCCCCATGTGGCTCGAGAGCCGCGGTTTGCCTACCACTGGCCTAGGGGCACAACGGTGAGCTGAGAGAACAGGTCTAGGACCACATCCCAGGAACCAGCAACATTAAGGGGACAGGCGAGCGCAGCAGAGCCATCAGCAAAGACTGAGGACGGAAGTGCAGAGAGGAAGTCAGGGCAGCTCCATCTGTAGAAAGCATAGGTTACCAGCCTCCCCCAGCCTCCCGTAATAGCCCAATGCGGATCATTCCTTCCCATCCACTGAGCCCCTGGATGTGGGAGACAAACGGGCTCCCGCTGTCTCGTTGCCCCTGCCCTTTCTCCAAGAGGCTGGCCTGAATGCGCGTTTCTCTCCGGCGCAGACACTTTCTGGACCAACCCGCAGTACCGCCTGAAGCTCCTGGAGGAGGACGACGACCCCGAGGACGCCGAGGTCATCTGCAGCTTCCTGGTGGCCCTGATGCAGAAGAACCGGCGGAAGGACCGGAAGCTGGGGGCCAACCTCTTCACCATCGGCTTCGCCATTTACGAGGTAGGCCTGGCCGGCTGACGCCCAAGAAACACACCCTCTCAGCGGGAGGCTCTCGGGGCTGACAGAGAGGCCTCCGCCTCCCGGACCCTCGGAACCCGGGGCCTCAGGCCCACTGCGTCAGAACCGCTTGTGTGTTTGTCAGGAGGGGATGAAACCAGGGGGGAGAGGGAGGGTGGGGCCGGGGCTGGCCACGGGGAGTCAGTCAGACTTATGTATTTGCTCTACAGTTGCTAGTGTTCCCTGAAATGCTTTTCGTCTCCATTCAGATGTGAGAGCCACAGAATCTGAGTGTCTTCTTTTTCTGTTTCTCCTCAAGGTTCCCAAAGAGGTACGGAAGGGGCAGCGCCGGCGGCCGTGGGCAGCACGACCAGGGCCTGTGCCTGTCTGTGGGGCCTCGGGAAGCTTCCCGGTGGGGCTTGTGGGCAGGACCCTGCTAGGAGGGGGCCCGCCGCCTGCGCCCCTCAGCCCCAGAGCAGCGCCATGGCCTCCTGACTACCACCCTCACCTGTGGCCTCCCCTCAGAGACTGTCACACACGTGCTTTCACACATCCATAGTCACTTGTTCACACTCAACCACACGCTTGCTCACATACACATTCATACCCACACCAGTACACACTCGCCCATCGTCGCACAGACACATTCTAAGGGGGACTGCCTCTTTGGGATGGAGGAGTCGCCTCCCTCGCACCCCAGCTTAGGGCCCTCCTGCCTCCTGGGGTCCTCCCCTGGCCTGGAGGCAATCAGAGTTGACCAGCAGCCCTTCTGGTAAGTGACCTTGAGGGCGGGGTAGGATAGACTTGACCTTCTGAATCACAACAGACGAAGAGGAGGAAAGTGGGGTAGGGAGCTCCAGGGGCACTGAGCTATTTGCGACCTCGGGAATCGGAAGTAGACAGACAGGTCATGGCTGTGCACCGGGTGGCCAGGGAGGCGGGAGAGAGCCCCGGAGGGGGCTGCTGCAGGAAGGGCACCCCTCCCTCCGCGGGGCTCAGGGTGGGCTCCTCTCTCCTGCAGATGCACGGGAACAAGCAGCACCTACAGAAGGACTTCTTCCTGTACAACGCCTCCAAGGCCAGGAGCAAGACCTACATCAACATGCGGGAGGTGTCCGAGCGCTTCCGCCTGCCCCCCAGCGAGTACGTCATCGTGCCCTCCACCTACGAGCCCCACCAGGAGGGGGAGTTCATCCTCCGCGTCTTCTCTGAGAAGAGGAACCTCTCCGAGTGAGTCCCAGCCTGCTTTCCTCCCGCCCCCGCGGCCCGCTCCAGAGCCCGGAGGCAGGAGGCAGCTGGCCCTTCTCCCCAGGGAGCCCCCGCACAGGCTGGCCGGGCTGCGCCTCTTCCCCGCCTCTGAGCCACCGGCCACATCTTCCCTATTCATTCATTCATTCATTCATTCATTCATTCTTCAGTCAGTCAGTCAGTCAGTGATCCCACAGATGTTGAGGATAGAGCAGTGAATTGAACAGAAATAAATCCCTGCCCTCGTGGAGATGAATAGCATCATCTATCAATAGCATGAGACCACAATGTATAGGAAAAGACACACACATATATAGTATACATATACATACATACATATACATACATATATATACACACACACACACACACATATATACATATATACAGTTTGTTAGAGTTTGGTAAGTGATAAGGAGAGGAATAAAGTAGGAGGTGTTGGGGTGATTGAACTTTTAGGGAGGTAGCCAAGGAAGCCAGCAAGGCCACCACACATGCGTCCCTGGTCTTTGTCCCTGAAAGAAGCAGAAGGCGTATGAGCAGGTGGCTGGGCCCCGCCTTTGGGGAGCTCTAGGCGAGGGACTTCTCCTGAGCTCAGTACTGACTTAGCCCTGAGAAGTCATGTGACCTGAGCGAATCCTCTCTGTGCTTCCTACCTGCTCCTGGTGACGGGAGCCCCATGTCTGTGTTCCTCACAGGGATGTTGAAAATACAATCTCCGTGGACCGGCCAGTGGTGAGTGGTTTAGCGCCTACATGCAGGAAGGTCCAGGGGACAGTGGGCGGCAGAGGGGAGAGGGGCTGTTGGCAGAGGGAGGCGGGAGGCTGGGGTGTGCGCAGCGATCGCTCCATCGTGCTGCAGCTTCTGTTTGGCATGACCGGCAGGAATGGGTGGGCCTTGTGGTCCCGGGGCTAATTCGTCAGCCCAGGGGCTGGGAAGTAGGGAGGAGAGTCCTATGAGCGAGAGGCAGTTTGAACCATGAAAGGGGGGGCTGGGGGGGGGGGGGGGAATCAAAGCCACAGGAAGCGATGGTAAGAGCAGCAGCTAATACTGGATTATGAGGCACAAGCTCCCAAAGAGAAAAGGTCACATCTCTGCAGTCAGCGTCAAACCTGGGCCCGGAACCCAGACAGTTACATAAACCCTCCAAGTCCATGTCCTACTCTTTAAAATGGCTGCCTGACCCGGCTTTTGTCAGGTTCGAGTCAACGAGATCATGGCTGCGAGGTGTCTGGCATGGCCCGGGCCTCACTGGTGGTTATTAACTCGTGGCTTATCTCCTTCACTGGGGCCTTCTCACGGCGTCCTCTCACCGGATCCTCACAAGGTTTCTGGGATGTAATAAGGTTATTACCCCTGGTTTTCAAGTAAGGCAGGGGAGATCCAGCGAAGTTAACTGACTCCCTGGAATTCACAGAGCTCTTACCTAAGCTAAGCCTCTCTGAAACACGCACTCTCTCCCCGAAGCCATGCTGAGATGTCCGCGGGGTGTGAGGCCTGGAGTTAGCACTGACGTGGTGTCTGTTGGAGTCTCCTTGGGTTGAGGAGTCTGTGGCTGCCTTGGGGCTTTGGGTCCTGGTTAGGAAGCAGTCCCTTGTGGGTGTATCCTGGGCCAATTAGAAGACAGCAAAAACCCCACCGAGCTGCCAGCTGGGGTCTGGCATCCGTGGTTCTAATCCTGCCCCTGCCCCAGGGCCAGATCTCCAAGTGCCTGCCGGATGACGGCAGACGTTGTTTTTAGTATTAATGCTCGCAGTGCTATTCTTAGCCTCTGGACGTTGGTCAGCCTGTACAGTGTTTGTCAGCAGTTGCAAACCCGAACGCTCATGGGAGCTGGCATGTCGCCTCGCTGAGCAGAGCCCGCGGGGGCAGGGCGTGGGTGTCCCTTCAGCGGCCTGCAGCCCGGAGCTGACGTGTGGCTCCGGTGTTGGAGGGCTGACGGGCTGGAGGCGCCCGTGGTGTCCGGGAGGGTGCCATGGGGGCTCAGGTCCATGCAGGCTGCCTGACGTAACTTTACAAAAGAAGCCCCAAACCTGGATTTCCAACAAGTCTCCCCATGTTAACTATTTGCTTAAAAACAAACAAAACAACAACAACAAAACCCCAAACGTTGTAAATCCAACAAAATTCATTTAAAAAATATATATATTTTATTGCTTTTTTACAGAGAGAAAGGGAGAGGGATAGAGAGCCAGAAACATTGATGAGAGAGAAACATTGACCAGCTGCCTCCTGCACACTCCCCACCGGGGATGTGCCCGTAACCAATGTACATGCCCCTGACTGGAATCGAATCTGGGACCCCTCAGTCCGCAGACCGACGCTCTATCCACTGAGCCAAGCCAGTTTCAGCAACAAAATTCACTTTGGGGCCAGATTGGGTCAGCTACCTTTTCAGTGTTTTAGTCATCAACTTCATTAAAAATGCATTAGGTGGAGCCTCCCTTTCCTTAGCCACTCTGGGCTCGGGGCTGTGGAAGTCTCCTCCCCCTGGGCCCTCCAGGCCCTTTTGGCTCCGTGTGACCTGGCTTTCTAGGCCCCAGAACGCAGCCCACGTTCAGAACCGGGCCACGGGAAGCCAAGGGCCAGTGGATTCTCCGGAAACGGGCTTTTCACTTAACCTGCACGTACTGTTTTCTTTCCTCGCACAGAAAAAGAAGAAACCCAAGGTGGGTGCAACAGGGTGAGCGGGTGGACAGCACGGAGTTTCTGTGCATGCGTGCGTGAGCGCAGGAGCGCCAGCCGCGCCTCTTCCCCCGCCTGCTGCCCCCACGCCTCCCTCCCCGTGGCAGCTCTGCGTGCAGAGCAGTGCGAGCGACCACGTGCTGAGTGAAAGCTGAGGCCCAGGCACTCTCCAGGTGCTTTCTGTGGATTAACTCAGTCCTTAACAACCCTGTGGATTAACTCAGTCCTTAACCCAGTCCTTAACAATGCTGCTGTCATCCCCCTTCTCAGAGGAAGAAACGGTACAGACGACAGACTAACTTACCCAAAGGCCACAGAGCCAGTAGGTGGCAGCCAGCGCGTGGAGGCAGGTGCAGAGTCTGCGCTCTGAACCATGCTCTGCTGCCTGCCTCCCACGTGAGGGAGGCAGAGGGGGGTCAGCCAGTGACAATGGGGCTCTTGCAGAATCCAAAAGGAGCAGCCCATCGCTGTCAGACGTGGGCTCAGCGATGCTAAGCAAGGCTTGATTCTTTGGGGGAATGCCAACAGGTTTTATCCCTCAGGTACAGTGAGCTAATGGGAGGGTTTCCATGGAGAGTGGGGGTCTCAGATGCCAGCTGCCTGCTCTGTAGACAGGCCAGCTCCTTCTCCCTCCCCTCTTTCTCCTGCCTGCTCCCCACTTTTTTTTTCTCAGCTCTGGGAAGGGGTGGGAGAGGGTCCCTGCCAGGGCCCTCATTCAAGGGGAAGCCTGCTTCTAGACAGTGACCTCTCACTCTGAACCGAGGGCCCCTCGAAGTCATGGGTCCGAAAGGCTGTATGTGCTTCCTGTCCATGGCAAAGGGCACAGCAGGGAGGCCTGGAGATGTGGGCCCGGTGTGGCCATACACCCCCTCAGACTGACTCCCCGTGCTCCGGGATCCCCACACACTTCAGTTGCTTGGGCAAGACCCTTTGCTCAAAAGGCAGAGCAAGCCAGGGCCACTGGGGCCGGCTGGAGCCAAAGCTGGGGCAGCAGGAGGGGCTGGGCCCCTAGGTTTGTCCATTCTTGCTGCCCTAGGTGAGCAGCATGGAAGGCGGGCGGGATGCACAGACCATCAGGTTCCTGTTCTGCTCCTGTTCGCCCCCTTGCTGTCTCCACTGCTGCCCCGGGCCCCACCTCCCCGCCTTCCTCTGTTCTCATGCAGCTGCTTCCCACCCTTCACAAAATATCTTCGCGTGCATGAGCATGCCTTAAAATTATCCCTTACATTTGTGTAGCTTCTTAGATGTTTTGCAGCCCACTTCATGTGACCCCCACAAGAGCCCCATGAGAAGTGTAAGGCAGGAGTCATTGTGCATATAATGGATAAGTAAAGCCCGAGAGGCTGTTTCCCATAGATGATGGCCAGCCCCACGGGCCATGCCACCAATCAGATCCTGTTTCAATGTGTCTGCTGTAGAGTTCTGTGTCTCCTGGGAGGTGCCTCCTGACTGCCCTGACGGTGTAGGGGCACCGAGGGAATAGGGCTCGGCCCTCCTCATCCAGCGGAGATCCTCTGGTTTGGTTTTGTTTTAGAAGCTCTTTTTAAAAATACATACATACATATATATATATATATATATATATATATATATATATATATATAAATTTTTTTTTTATAGAAAGGGAGAGGGACAGAGAGCTAGAAACATCGATGAGAGAGAAATATCGATCAGCTGCCTCCTGCACACCCCCCACAGGGGGTGTGCCTGCAACCAATGTACATGCCCTTGACCGGAATCGAACCCGGGACCTCTCAGTCCGCTGGCTGATGCTCTATCCCCTGAGCCAAACAGGTTTTGGCATAGAAGCTCTATTTTTAATGACTCTACACACACTGGGTTTCTGGGGAAATTTAACTTGAACCATGTTTCCATTTGCGGGGGAGGGAAGTCTGCACAGTATTTGAAACCCACTGCACGAGATCACGTTGCTTTTAGCAGTCTTAGCATGTTCACATGTGCTCACTGTCTTGTTTAACCCTCGTACCTTTATCCTGAGGAGCTAAGGGCTGGAGGTCCAGAGAGACTTAGCATCTTCCCCACCGCCTGGTAGTGGCTGAAATAGAGCTTGAAGCGAGTGAGGCCCAGGAGCTCCTGCCTGCTCGATCCCTCTTCGCTGGACCAGCTGTCCAGGACGAGGTTGCCCCAACCTGTCTCCTCAGCCTGTAACCCTTGCTTCCTTCCTGCCCCTCCCCACCGCCCTCTCCTCTCCAGCCCATCATCTTCGTTTCGGACAGAGCAAACAGCAACAAGGAACTGAGCGTGGACCAGGAGGAGGGCAAAGACAAAACAGGCCCCGATAAGCAGGAGAAAGCGCCACAGGTTCCGAGCATGTGGCAAGAATGGGGTGGCCAGCGCACACTGGGGGCTTCTATGCTTTTGGGGTGCTCGAGTTGGAGGGGATCGAGGGTGGGGTGTCTCTTTAACAACTAGAAGTTGGATTTATCTCACTGACCTTTTTCTCTCACCAAGTTCTTCTGAAATTGGGGGTGCTGTCGTGGGGGTTGGCAGCCACATCCAGGGAGTCGGAGGCTGGGAAGGACAGGCTGAGCTCGCTGCTGCGCCCTGTCCCGCAGGACGATGAGGGAAGGGACAGAACAGCTCCTGTCTCCTGGAGTCCTCGAGCTCGTGACCAGGGGGGGCAGTAGCAGAAAAGGGCTGAATGAGCAATAGAGTCCTCCAGAGCCACGGGGAAGGCTAGCCCGGCGTGGGGACACGAATGGCTAGTGGAGGTGGGCCTTATAAGGGACAAAGGCCCATAGGCCCAGCCAAGGCCACCTCCTCTAAGGGGGGTGCCCTGCAATGGAGTGGGGGAGGGGCCCTCTGAGGACCCGGCCTTGATGACAGAGCAGGTGGGAGATGTCAGATGGTCTGCCCCTTGGGTCCTGCTGGGGCTCATTTGGTTGGGATGGTCAGGCTCACAGCAGGGGAGGCTGTAGCTGGTGGGGACGGGGAGGGGGACGGGGACGGGAAAGGGACCGCAGGGGCTGTCTGCATGTCTGCCGGGCTGAGATAGCTCCTGTCTGGGTGTCTGGGCTGGGAGGCATGGAGTGAAGGATCGCAGGCGCCCACGAGGTTTGACCCGGAAGGAGCATTGGCCAGACACAGCTCTGGCTGCCCCTGGGGCTGCTGTAGGCACTCTGCTCCTTCGGGCCAGAAGAGACTTTCCTCAGGGTCTGTCCACCCCCTCCCCTGTGAGCCAGCTTTGCCTTGTGCTTCCACAGCCCGGGCCTGGCAACACCGACCAGGACACCGAAGAGCAGCAGCAATTCCAGAACATTTTCAGGCAAATAGCGGGTGATGTGAGTACCTCCCGCTCCCACACCCCCGAGTAACTGCTCACCTGGTCAGTGACTGCATCATCATCCCGTAGAGGGCATTTTGGCGGAAATGGGATATGTGTGGGTAGCACAGAAATCCACAAGTCAAGTCCTGGAGTTTTGGACAGACACATCCATGGGGTGGCTCGGAGGCCTTTGGGCTGAGCTGCCCGCTGCAGTCCTGACAGCCCGGGTGCCATGTCTGCCTCCTGGGAAAAGCCCCCGCTTCCCTGCTGCAGAAGCACTGACAGGGACTGGACAGATGGGGCAGCCGGGACTCCTGCAAAGCCTCTGCCCGCAGCTCTGTTCTCGTGAAAGTGACCCCTGCACCCCCCCGTCTCTCCCCCCCCACCCCCGCCTTCCTCCTCAGGACATGGAGGTCTGTGCAGATGAGCTCAAGAATATCCTGAACTCGGTTCTGAACAAACGTGAGTGGCTCAAGCTGCCTGTGCGGGGTGGAGGGCAGGTGTGTGTGTGTGTGTGCGCGCGCGCGCGCGCGTGTGTGTGTGTGTGTGTGCGCGCGCGCGCGCGTGTGTGTGTGTGTGTGTGTGTGTGTGCGCGCGCGCGTGTGTGTGTGTCATCTGAAAGTCGATCCTCTTCTCCATTCCTCCCAGACAAGGACCTGAAGACACAAGGGTTCACGCTGGAGTCCTGCCGTAGCATGATTGCTCTCATGGATGTATCCTTCCTGCGCCCCTCCCCAGCCCTCAGGGGGCCAGGGCAACAACGAGGGGTGCCCAGTCAGGCAGAGGGGCCCAAAATCGCACCACGGAAAGGTTTGGGGAGGTCCTGAGTCAGAACCTCCCTGAGGCTGGTCTGAAAGGGGCTAATGGAGGAGGTACATGTTGGGAAGGCCCTGGTTGTGACCAGCCCCTGCTCTTACCTCAGGCTGGGATTCTGCCTGGGCCCTGGCCAAGCAAAAGTGGTCCTTAGGAGGCAGGTTCCCTGGGTCATACACACCAACTTTGGTTGGGGAGGTTTGGGGGGAGGGTTAAATACCAGGACAGGGCATTGATACAGGACAGTGGCTAGGATAGCCTGGGCAGAGCCTTCCTATGGGGCTACCTTCCCTGCAGAGCCTTCCAGAAACCCCCTCCCGATCCCAGAGGACTCTGCTATGTGCACCCTGTAGCCCTGACCTTCCCCCAGACAGATGGCTCTGGGAGGCTGAACTTGCAAGAGTTCCATCACCTCTGGAAGAAGATCAAAGCCTGGCAGGTGGGGAGAGAACCAAGTGCGGGAGCGAAGGAGGAGGTGGTGTCTGGGGTTTAGTGTGTAACCACTGACCTCAAATCTCCCACTTCCAGAAAATTTTCAAGCGCTACGACACAGACCAGTCAGGCACCATCAACAGCTACGAGATGCGAAATGCAGTCAACGATGCAGGTGCTGGGAAAGGGGGGGAAGGGAGGGGCTGGTTGGGGATATGGGCTGGACTGGTGGAAGCAGGAATGGGAAGAGAGGACTGGGCCACTGGGCCTGCCGGAGAAAGGGCAGAGAAAGGGCTTCTGGGTTTCCGTTCCCGAGAGGAGGGACAACAGAGCGCAGGCCTGAGGACTGCAGCTCCGCTTCCTCCTCTCAAGTGCTCCCCCCACAGGATTCCACCTCAACAGCCAGCTCTACGACATCATCACCATGCGGTACGCGGACAAACAAATGAACATTGACTTCGACAGCTTCATCTGCTGCTTCGTCAGGCTGGAGGGCATGTTCAGTAAGTGGGGGCTGCCACCCCGCCTCCTCCCGCAGGGACAGCTGTGGCAGCAGGAACCTCAGCCTGATCATCCCGCCGCCTCTGTCTGTCCGGGATGAACAAGGGCGAAGGCCCTCTTTAGGCTCAGAACGGGTTGGCAAAGGGAGGGCGGGCTATCAGTGACACCCTGCCTGGCAGAACAGGGTCCCCTTGAGGAATGTCACAGTAGGGGAGGGAGAGCGAGCCTGTGGCCTCTGGCCTGTATTCCTTCCGCCACACAGGAGCTTTTAACGCATTTGACAAGGACGGAGACGGCACCATCAAACTCAACGTTCTGGAGGTAAAGCCTGCGAGAAGCGGTACACTCGCCTTGTACCTTAAAATCCAAGGCGGAGTCAATGGGGCAGACTGACCCAGTGCGCTCCTCACGTCCCAGGGGTGTGGGAGGACAGGGGAGAAGGGGAACAGAAAGCGAAGCACCATGGGTAATGTGGCTCACGGGGAATGCACACACCAAAGGGTCCTCATTCCTAAAATGACTTTATGCTGGAAAGCACGGACCTTCCCAGAGATGTGGGGGAGGCTGCTGCTGCTTCCGATAAAACCTCCCCGGGGTGAGCCTTTCCCCTGCCCTGTGAGACCCCTCGGGCTGGGCTCTGTTCTTTGCATCCTGACCTCGGGGCCTCCTCTTTCAGTGGCTGCAGCTCACCATGTACGCCTGAGCCAAGCCGGCCTCAGCCACGGCGTGCGGGATCCCTCAGGATGTTTCACCCACTGTAGCTAGAACCACTTACCTCAACGGGGGCGGTGGCTGCCTCCAGGCGCCCCGGCAGGCCTCCAGGCGCCTCATCAGTCTTGTTCCTGCCCACTCAGCCTCAGGGCATCTGTCCATTTGTCACGCCCAAAACAACCCTTTCGTTAAGGAACTTTGTCCCTTAACTGGAGCAAGTGTGTGTCTGCCTCAGCCAGTGGTAGTCCTGCGGAGCTTTGCTTGGAACCTGAGCAGCCTCAGCTCTGAAGCGAATGCTCTCCTTGGCGGCAGTGCCCTGGGCCGTTCATAGAAGCCCTAGCTGATGGCACTCTGTACTCCTGCACCGGATCCCTCTGCCGCCCACCGCACCGTCACCAAGCAAGCCCTTGGTCCTGGTTATTTCAGGATGGGCCTGCCCTGGAGGGAACTAGCTCAGTGGCAGAGGCTGGAGATTTGGGCTGTCTGACTCATCAGTTTGTCTGCTTTCTGAAAAGAAGTAGACCAAATAAAGGCGGGTTCTGCTGTGCTTTGTTTCCTCACATTGGATATCAGCCATGGGCTGAATAGCTCCCAATTGCGCATTTTTCACGTGGAGAGAGCCCAAGTTTCATGATACAACAATGAAAAACACACACATAACAAATAAGCCCCAAGTCCCACTTTAATCATGCCAATTTGTATTTCTTAAGCATAGAAATCACTCAGATATATGAGGAAATGGAGGGGAATGGCTCTTGGTTACAAAACAAGAATAAATGGGTCACCCATTAACTGGAGGGTCACTTACCTATCTATCTATCTATCTATCTATCTATCTATCTATCAATCTATCTATCTATCTATCTAAATGCCTAAATGACTGTTACAACTGAACAACTGGACCAACCAGTCGCTATCATGTGCACTGACCACCAGGGGGCAGACACTCAATGCAGGAGCTGCTCCATGGTGGTCAGTGCTCTCCCACAGCCAACCTCCCCCTGCTGACCAACCTCCTCTGGGTAGGTGGTGGTGGACACCACCCCTTTCCCAGGAGGGCCTCAGGGCTGGCAGCCAACTTCCCATGCCCTGTGTACGCTTCTACTGGCCAACAGGCCCAATCTGCCATCTGCCTGCCACAGTGGTGGTGCAATGGTGAGAGAAAGAGGAGGGGGGCCCTCCCCCTGGCTGGCAAATCTCCCATGGTTCCTCCCCCCAACCCTCCCCTGGGTGGTAGGTCCCATCCCTCCCTGAGGTCAGCAGGCACTGGTGGCAGCACGGTGGTGAGGGAAGGAGGGGTGGGAGAGGCGGGGAACCATGCAGTGGTGGGGCACCAACGGCAGCATCAGCGTCTGGCATCCATTCCTTCAGAGCCCAGTGACTGTCGTCTCCTCTCCCCACCCTGCAGGGACCTATAGGCCCCAATCAACCCGTCCCGGATCAGCCTGGCCCCAATCGGCCCTGATAAGACCCTACTCATGCATGAATTTTGTGCACCGGGCCTCTAGTCCTATATAATAAAAGCCTAATATGCTAATTGTCCATCCAACTATTTCACCAGTCGCTATGATGTGCATTGACCACCAGGAGCAGACTGGTAGGTTAGTTTGCTGCTGGGGTCCAGCCCATTGAGACTGGGTAAGATGGGCCAGACATGCCCTGGAGCCCTCCTACGGTCCTTCCTGATCCTGATCATGCACTGGTGGGGTCCCTTGGCCTGGCCTGCAGGGATCTGGTGGAAACCGGCTCTCTGATATCCCCCCAGGGGCCTAGATTGCCAAAGGGCACAGGCCAGGCCAAGGGACCCCACCGGTGCATAAATCCATGCACCAGGCCTCTAGTCTAAGTATAATGGAGCAGAAATGTAGTTTTTAATCTTAGCTCCTTCATTAATAAATTGACCTCTGTGTATGAACTTGAACAAATCCCTAAATGTAACTGTTTGACAAACCTATCTGGCCCATGGTCTGTGGCTTATCTATAACCACCTTGTGCTTCCTACCCAATTTTCTTCTTAGTCTCTATACCAACATGGAAAAGAAGGGGTTGGGCTAGGAAATGTACAGATAAGGTAAAAAAGTAAACAATTTGCAAAAGTACTTTATTTTCCTCTTGTAATTTGCTTTATATCTTGCTTTTACAAAGTTATTAAGTTCACAGGTTTATACCAAAATGTAAGAAGGCTAAGCTATTTGCTTATAAACATTTTTGCAGTCAAATGTCATCTGATTTCACTTTTCTAATCCATACTCAATATAAAAACTTCAAATACCAGGCATGCTAGAGCAGCTCTAGGGCGTGTGTTTCTCTTAGGCAGGAGGAAGATTCAATAGCCTTTCCTCTTTGACTCCCCTCTTTCCCAATCCAATTGGGCTACTACCTTGAATTTAGGACAAACATGGGACATTTTAGTGCATGTGACCCCGCAGGGCCGCATATTTGGGAGTTGGAGGTGAGGTAAGGGATTACTGTCTGATAAGCAGTAGGTGCGGTTTACATCATAATTTCACATCCACTAGCAAATGGGACTCAGTATAACCCAGATCACCACCACAGCTCCTATTCCTTAGTCATTAGACAGCTTCTTGGCAGTCCCGAGAGTCCTGATGATGTGGGGCAGGGACGACATCACTATTATCACCGTGGCAGGCATGGCCTTCCCAGCAATTCTAAAAGCTCCCCTTGAGGCAACAAGAACAAAATCTGTCCATCAGTGTATATTAACTGCAGTTATTTGAGCATACCAGGGGGAACATGCTGTTCAAATATCACATCACAATATGCTTTGATCTCCCCTCCAATGAATTCTCTTCCATAAAACATACCATACCATTCCACTAAATGTTGTACACCTACTCCCACCAAACCATCCACATACCCAGTCACTAAAGTTGTCCACTATATCATCTACCCAAGACCCCCAAAAAACAAAACCAAAGAAACCTTTGTGAAGCAAATAATCACTTAAACAGCAATGATTTTGCCTGTAACTTATAGGGAGGTCAGGAGCTAAACACTCAAATGCTAACTCTTCTCAGACAGAAAAAAAAAACTTCTCTCCACCAAAGCAGGAGTGTGGTAGCAATGATGTTCTCTTCACGTAGCATCAAATCAAAAGAATTCTTTGCCCCTAAGAGCTGTGTTTGCGCTGTGTTACATTGAGTAGAAGCGTACACCAAAATAAACTTGAAGTGGCTGATATATCAGAACAAACTGCCATTGAAAGACTAGCATGTGCACACAAGAGGATTTACAACAGGGTTTCCTTGGCTTCTAGCCGTTAGAAGTAGGCACACATAATCAACAAATAACATTCTAAAACATGGCCTCCGACTCCTTATAAGAAATGAGTCCGGTTCTGTCAGGTCATGTAACTGTTTCCTTTCTTCACAAAGTACTGAAGACCAGAGTTTACGCAAGTCCCTGAATTCAGATGCTTTACCCTAACTCCCCTATCTGACGTGCTGCAGGCGAGTGCAACGCGTTCTGAAGGACTCAAGCCCACAGCTCTTCTCTGAGGGGGACAGGGGGCTAGAATCAGTCAAGACATCAACCAAGACTTAAAAATGGGCAAAATCCTGCATAACTTTCCAGACACTTTAAAGTAGTAACACAACCATACGTAAGCAGCAGAGATGTTTGCGGTGCGTTTGTTTCTAAACGGAACTAGAACAGTGCGTTTAGGATAACACACTAACCTGATGTTAAACAAACTTTACACATCCTTAAAACAAAAACATTACTGCTACTGCTTCAAAGGCCATTTCTATAAAATGAGGAAAAGTATTCCAAGTTCAGGTGCCCATCCATTATACACGTGTACAAGGATCATTCCTTACACAGAGGCAGACAGACTGTGCACAATTCCACCAAAGTGAAACCCAAACTGGTTCTTACTGACTCTACCTGCAAGGGTTCCCCTCACGTGCCCAACACCTGCCCTATGAAGCTTCACCACTCTCGTCTTTGCAGACATGTCCTCAGGCAGGACAGGACGACACCTATGCACCAGTGCATGCAAGACTTTCTTAGCACACTACCCAGCCATCTTAGAAATGCTGCTTCAATAAAAGAGGAAAATGCCAGGTTTGGCAAGAAGTCCAAATATGCTTTCCTGGGAATTTACCATTCCCAAACCCTCTGGCCACCTGTACAGGAAATGGAGGTGAGAGGGGGAAAAGCTTCATAATCTCATAGAGAAACAGCACCAACAGCCTTGATGCAACAGGGTTCTCTCTGGTCTCTCTCAAGTGTCATGTAAATCCCAATAGTGTGGTTAACAAAAAAGTTTTCCCATTCACAAAGACAGAAGTAAATAGCTTGTGGGGCCATTCATTATCTCATAGTAGCTCCGTCAGTAGGTCTTAATCTTTTGGATCCAGTAAAATCATTAGAGCCTTCCCTGGGAAAAAAGGACACATACTTCGTCATACATTACAATTTCAATTTCAGGGGGTTCGCACACCTTCCTGAAACCTATCCACGAGTCCCCAGTGAAGTTCTCCTGCCCTAGAGCCAGAGTGAAGGAGATACGTGAGCAGAAGTGTGTGCACCAACAGGAGAGGGGAGAGACCTGGGCGCTCTGCCATCCTAGAACACAGGAGGATTTGTCGTGGGGCCCTGAGCTGCTCCCCTTCTCCGATCTCCCTGAAGAACCTTTCAGAGTGAACCCACAAACAAAAGAATGAAAAGCAACAGTTCTCCAGCTTCTCTTAAGTCCAAGAAAAGCCAAACAAAGCAGTCTCCCTAAGGCTTTGATAAGTGGCTACTCTCCTTGGGCAGGTGGTCTTTACCTCCACCAGATTCCACTCTTTCTTCCCAGCTAGTGGAGAGGTGAAGGTAAGACAATGGTTTTAGAAATTAGTTTCTAAGAAGCCTGTTTGAGGCCCTAAAACTAAATTCAGATGCTTTATCCTAACCCCCCTATCTGACGTGCTGCGGGCGAGTGCAACGCGTTCTGCAGGACTCAAGCCCACAGCACCCTTGAGAGTCAGGAACCGCAAAGGGAGGTGAAGGCTGCACCTCCCGGTCAAACAGCCCGACAAGCCCCGTCTAACGGCACCATTTCAAGTGAACATTAGGTCTGTGTGCTACCTGGAGCCCAGCACTCCAACAAAACCTGCAGAGGGTCGCGGGGTAGCACTGTCTGTAAGGACTTGCCATTATGTGATCTGCTGTCTCAATTCCTAAAACAGTCAGCAGAGCAGTTACTCTAGCTGCTAAAAATCTACTGTGTCTTCCTTTACATTTAGGGCCAGCTCTGTCATCTACAAAGCAAGAGAATACTGACACACACTAAACATAATTGTTAAGAAGAAAACTATTTGCTTCCAGTTTAAAATACCCAGTTATTATAAGCAGAAAAATTAATCTTAAAACTCTAGCATTTGAACAGACTGGTACTTAAAGCTTGACTATAAGTTTAAACCATCATAAGAACATAAACCAAAAATCACAAACTTGAAATCAGTAACATGATTAGGGTCAAATCAGGTAACCAATTCATATCTGCATCTTTAATAAACATCTGGAGGACACCAGTAGCATAAATTACCATATGCCACGCTGTCCCAGGAGTATGTTCCTTAACATCTGTTTAAATCTGACACACCTCCAGCAAGATCTTAAAGTGTAACCTATCGTTCCATAGAGCTGCTCAGACTCACCCTAGTGGTAAGCCTGGTTGGTAATCACTGTCCCCTTCCCCGCTTCACAGGGAAGGGGAGGAGAGTGGCCGGTGTGAGGGGCCAATGCGAAATTCGTTCAACTAATGACTTCCCAACATGGGAGGCAAAAAACTTCATGAATCAACTTTACTGTCATCCTCAGCATGTCGCCCGATGTGTCCTGTAGCATCCTAGGAAGAAAGGGAAAGGGGCCCGTGAGAGAGAAGTTGGAAGGACAAGAGAAAGTCCACAAGGAGAGCTTTCGGGGCACATTCTACGATCTACACATGAAGGGCAGTTAGGACCCAGCATTCTTCATTTGAAACCTCATTCTGCTACCCTCAAATCTATGAGTAATAATAAAAAGGAAAAATCCCTTGGCTCTCCCTGTTTGTTATAATTCTGAACATTCTAACGAGGCAAAAGGTTTCCAAACCCTGCTCCCAGGGGTCAAATGACCTCAGATTGACCTCAAATCCCAATGACGTACCTGTTTGGATCCTTTCCTAGCAGTGAAAAAAGCATCACAGTTCTTCCAGCGACATTTCAGAGTCTGAAAGTTTGGGTTTGTATGGTCAGTCAGCAAATGTTGTTTTAAGTGATCTACAACGCCAAATATCAGAGAGCAACCATGCCACTGGAGAGAAATAGAAAAGTTAAAAAGGGTTCCAGAAACATGCAAATAGAACATTCCTACTTGTATGCCATAAATTTGATGGAAACAAAAAATAAGCCCCTTATTATTTAATTTATTCTTGGCTAGCAAAACAAAGCCAGAGACATCCAAATTAATGATCAATATGACAAGGAACCTTGAAAAGACTGGGAAGTCTTCTGACATTTTGGTATTTTAAGAAGACAAAGCACTGCCAGAACAGGTTTGGCTCAGTGGATAAAGTGTCGGCCTGCAGACTGAAGGGTCCCAGGTTCGATTCCGGTCAAGGGCATGTACCTTGGTTGTGGGCACATCCCCAGTAGGGGGTGTGCAAGAGGCAGCTGATCGATGATTCTCTCTCATCGATGTTTCTAGCTCTCTATACCTCTCTCTTCCTCTCTGTGAAAAATCAATAAAAAATATTAAAAAAAAGAAAAAAAGAAGACAAAGCACTAAGTTAGCCAGTACATTGTTAAGTTAGTAAATATGTATAGACAAGTTACCACAAATTTCAGTTTATATCATACTTATTCTCTGTCCTGCCATCACAAAATGAGTTTCTTTGTCCATTTATTTAAAAAGACAAAGAGCGTTCCTGTGATACTGAAGGGGCTGTTTTGAATAATTCTAAGAACTACTGACTTGTAAACTTAAAGCTAAAAGTGCCTGATTAAAAATTTTTATTTGCCTATCCCCCCCAAAACCAATGAGAACACAAACCAAACTATTAATATGTGTAATCCATAAGGAATGTGTGTAGATTGGGCAGATAAGGAAAAGAAACACCTTCAACTTTTTCATATACTTATGCACCATTGATATATTTGTAAGAATGTACTGATTTTAGCCAAAACCGGTTTGGCTCAGTGGATAGAGCGTCAGCCTGCGGACCAAAGGGTCCCAGGTTCAATTCCAGTCAAGGGCATGTACCTTGGTTGCGGGCACATCCCCAGTAGGGGTTGTGCAAGAGGCAGCTGATCGATGATTCTCTCTCATCAATGTTTCTAACTCTCTATCCCTCTCTCTTTCTCTCTGTAAAAAAAATCAATAAAATACATTAAGAAAAAGAAAAAAGAATGTACTTATTTTATAATAAAACAAAATAAAAACCACCAGGTAGATAACCTGAGTGGAGGGTATTTGAATATAACTTATTCCCAATCTTAAAACAGATTTTCCATTAAAGAACTATAGAAAAGCATCAATGTACATTTTTTTAAAATAAGCTTCCTTGTCCTACAGTAGAATGCATAAAGTTGATACTCAAGCAGAAAAAAGCTATCCTGCCGAAACCGGTTGGCTCAGTGGATAGAGCGTCGGCCTGCGGACTCAAGGGTCCCAGGTTCAATTCCGGTCAAGGGTGGGCATATCCCCAGTGGGAGTGTGCAAGAGGCAGCTGATCGATGACTCTCTCTCATCGATATTTCTGACTCTCTCTCTCTCTTCCTCTCTGTAGTAAATCAATAAAATAAAATAAAATAAAATAAAAACAGGGAAAACTTTAAAAAAAAAAAAAAAGCTACCCTGATGACAATGAAGTCTGTAAATTAGCCTGGAGTTAAACATCTCCAGAACAGTTTCATTCCTTACCCAGCAGCGGTAATTCTGCATCAGATTTAGCCTCACGGCCTGAATACTGCCATCGTAACAGCCAGTGTAAATCTGGAAAAAGAGGTTTATCATATTAGACCAATACACACACACCAAAACACAACTATGAAACATCCTCAAAATAAGAGTCAAAAGCTACTTATAGCAACTTACAAAAATACTGACACTAAACCAATACCAGCCCATGGTACTACAATGGGAAAGCACCCTGTAGATCTTCTCTTCTGGCCCTTTGAAGCTGTGCTCCTTCCAGAGCCGCTCTGGGACCTTGGCCGACAGCAAAACTGGCAGGGCTCAGAGGCACCACCTACACTTTCCCTGGCGCAGCTCTGGCTGCCACTGGGCATTACCTATTAGGCAGCCGTATTTCATTGGGACACAGGGTTCTACTACTCAAGAGTCTGAAAAAGTATCCATTCTTGTTCAACCTCATAATTTAAAAATAAGTCAAGGACTAGCAGGGTTAAATGAGTTAGCTTCTGCTTTTAGGCATGCTATAACCATGTCATACTAGCCAAACTCCTGGCTCCAATATTCTGTTCAGATCATAATGTCTCTGGAAAAAGCACACTTTTTTAAAAAACATCTTAAATTTATCTTCTACTTAATGGTGCTATTAGATTTTTATTGCAATTATTTAGCTATTAATAGAAAATGAAATATTCAACAATATTACTAGGTTTTATCTTGATAACATTATGCCAAGAAATAGAAAGGCAATCAATAATGAGTCATATCAGAAACAGATGACATTTTTGGAAGTGACAAGTAGTAAGATTATCAGTTTGTAGAGTTTTTAGTAAATACATTCAAAGGCAAATGGGTGACATGGCACACAATACTCACCATACTTTTATGAATGGTCATACACATAATCATGTCTTTGTGTCCTCCATAAACTTGCAATCGATCATGGGACTTAGGGGGAGAAAAAAAAAAAGAATTAAGGTTATAAAACCTATTGTTTAATAAGCACAGTCCCTGAAGGCCTTTGCAGGTTTAAAATTACTCATGAGGCACCTGAGGATATGTTTTTGGTTGTTTTTATTAATTGATTTTTAGACAGAGAGGAAGGAGAGAGAAACATCAATGTGAGAAACATTGATTGGTTGCCTCTAGTACATGCCCAGGGATTGAACCTGCAACCTGGGTATATGTCTGACCAGGAATCAAACCCACAACCTTTTGGTGTATAGAATGAAGCTCTAACCAACTGAACCACCCAGCCATAACTCAGTTTCTTAAACAGAAACATAATCTAGCCCTAGCTGGTTTGGCTCAGTGGCTAGAGCGTGGGCCGGCGAACAGGAGGGTCCTGGGTTTGATTCCGGTCAAGGTCAAGGGCACGTACCTTGGTTGCAGGCTCCTCCCAGGCACAGGCCCTGGTCAGGGTGCACGAGAGGCAACCAATTGATGTGTTTCTCTCACATGGCTATTCCTGTCTTTCCCTCTCTCCCCCACTCTCTCTAAAATCAATGGAAAAATATCCTGCGGTGAGAATTAAAAGAAAGAAAAAGAAATATAATCTAGCTCTAGCCAGTTTTGCTCAGTCGTTAGAATGTTGGCCCATAGGACTAAAGGGTCTTAGGTTCGATTCCCAGTCAAGGGCACATACCAAGGTTGCTGACTCAATTCCTAGCCCTGACTAGGGTTCATGAAGGAGGCAGCCAATCAATATGTCTCTCCTACATCCATGTTTCTCTCTCTCTCCCCCACCACCACTCTCTCTCTCTCCTCCCCTGCTCCTTACCTTCCACTCTCTAAAAATCAATGGAAAAATATCCTTGGGTGAGCATTTAAAAAAAAAAAATGAATAAACTCTCATGGCAATCTTTCTAATAAGTCCTCCTCCTAAGGGAGGAGCAGGTAATTGGAATTAATACAACCAATTTCTGTAGCTTCAAAGTCTCCAACTTCAAATTGCATTTAAGGAGAACTAAATGGGTTTTAGAGACTGCAGTTGCTGTCCGGAAACCATTCACATTTTGATAACTATGAGGCTGACTGACCACGCATCCCAGAGCAGCGTTTCTGAAAGCACAGTCTGTGAATCAGCTGCTTCATCATTACTCAGAGTGCCTGTGAAGAATGCACATTCCTGGGTCCCAACCCAACCTTACTACATTCAAATGTCAACATCAAACCTAAGTAGACAGTCTCCCCAAATCATTCAAGCAAAATACTGGATCTAAATTCTACCTGTAATTCGTAGACACGAACAAATTTATCCAGGCAAGCAGTCACCATCACTTTTCCTAGGATGTTCACCACAGTCACTGCATGATTGTGACCTTTATAGATCCGCACGAGCTCCCCAGTCTGCATCGGGGGAGAGAGGAGTCAGTAGACTTTCCAGGTATCTTCCCACTTTGAGATTTATGATTCTCTAATTCTAAAAGTCATAATTCTGAGGCTTCTTGTACAACCACAAAGCTATACTAATTTTACTCACAAGCATTTGTTACCCACACAAAATATATAAAATGTATCCTGATGGAAAAAGCATGGTGTCAAAGGAAAAGAAGGGTCACCGCTCTATCTGTATGTATTTATAGCTTTCGAAGTACAGTTGACCCTTGAACAATGCAGGGGTTAGGGGCACTGGCCACATGCAATTAAAAATCAGCATGTAACTCTTGACCCCCCCCAAAAACTTAAGTTGTCCCTCATTATTTATGGAAAAATGGCCCCAATACCCTAAAGATACCAAAATCCTAGGCTCAAGTCCCCTACATAAAATGGCATAGAACAAGGCATACAGTCAGCCCCCACATCTATGGATTCATAATCACATATCAAAAACAGTACAGGTATTTATTGGGGGGAAATCCACATATATATGGACCCAAATAGTTCAAACCTGTATTATTCACAGGTCAAGTATACTTTCCCTTTTATCATTTCATTGGATCTGGGTAAGTCCCTGAGGACTTGGATTATCCCCAGGTTTACAGACCAGGAACTGACGTGAGTAGCGTCTCTCAGGTGTTTTCATTAGTTCTATTTTAAACTATATATGATATCCACTTTCTTAGCGCCTCAGATGCTCAATTTATCTCATTTAAATGCAGCATTCAAACTAAACCTTACATAAACTTTGAGTCTGTCCCCTATTAAAATTTTTGATGAGGTCAGAATTTCTAGGGTGCTCAATGTTATTGAAGAGCTCATAGGGATTATTATTAAGCCTCTCACTGGAAAAGGGGCTTAATTTACATTGTAGGAGATCCGATGAATCCTTCAGGCTTTAACCACCTCTCTATTAAAGATTTCTTTACACCAATCGGGCTTACATGAATGTTGTGGGCATGGACTGACTGGTCACTGGAGCCGCTGAACACAAGGTCATTCACCACCTTACAGAAAAGAATTAAGTGAGTTAGATTCGGTACAAGGTTCTGAGTTTCCTCTGTAACTTGCAATTTAAGTTGGTGAATTCTAATTCTTTTTTTTTTTAAATTATATTTTATTGATTTTGTACAAAGAGGAAGGGAGAGAGATAGAAAGCTAGAAACATCGATGAGAGAGAGTCATCGATCAGCTGCCTCTTGCACACCCTCTACCGGGGATATGCCCGTAATCAAGGTACATGCCCTTGACGGGAATCAAACCCGGGTCCCTTCAGTCCCCAAGCCGCTCTATCCATTGAGCCAAACTGGTCTCGGCAGTGAATTCTAATTCTGATGAGCAAAGACTAAGTATAAAACAAATTTCTCAAATTTTCTAAACTGAAACTCATGTCCTATCACTCTGATGAATTGACAATGTATTATTGGGCCTTTAGAATAATAGAATGATTATAGAGAAGGGCATTAGGGCATATCTATATTCTATAGTAAAATACATTTTCATTGTTTCTAAGTTAACATATTAAAAAAAAAAAAAAACAGCATATCCCTTGGTGACCCAGGCCTGAAGAAAAGGATTGTAATCTTCTTCCTCTTTTCTAAATGAGGCATTAGACAACACAGAAAATGTCATTCAAACCCTTCTACTTGTGCCAGACAGCTAGCTCCTGTTCTCCTGCCCCGTACTTGCCTTCATGCAGAGAATGGTTTTGCTGTGGCCCTCCAGAGTTCTGAGGAGGAGTCCGTTCCGCGCATCGCGTACACTAATGGTACAGTCATAAGACCCCACAACCAGCAGCTTTCGGGCCCCTTCCTGAGCTGTGGCTAGACAGCTAACTGCCCGAGGGCCATGGCATTCAAAGATTTCCAGTTGTTTGTTGTTCTGAAAAATAAGTCACCATCATATGGAGTAAATGCAACTTAGCTGGTAAACCTCAAAATCAGCTTACCCAAATCACTCCCTTAACACAAACTCTGAATTCTATTACCTGTACTTAAGTCCTCTTGGTCATTCCCTAATCTTTAACTCCCCACCTCTGCCATTCCTGTGCCAACTCTGTGTTCGTGACTCTCTCTGCCCCATTCCAGTGGGGCAAACTCTCACCTTGTGGGTTCATTTCTAACTTCAACCACACTGTCTTGATCATAATTGGAACTTGGTTCACTTTTTATGCCCTCCATCCCTCCCTCATGTTACCTTTTTTCTTTTTCTTTTCTTTTTTTTTTATCACCTTTTTTCATACTGTAATATATTTTCTATGTCACAGTCCCAGGAACTCATTCACTATTTTTCCCCCCAAAGTTGAGAATGACTTTCTTAGACAATTTCATAAAGGTCTGTCTTCCCCACCCCTCTGCCATTCTGATGTTCCTGACTTTAGTTCTATGGCACCTTTCAGGACCTCTTCCAGCGGAGCACAGAAGCCTTTGTATCAGTCAGAGTCCCATGGTCACATCCTGAATTCCCAAACATTCCTTTCTCTCAGATTTCAGACTTGTTTCCCGCATCCCACACCAATCTTGTTCATAAAGTTTCCTACTTCCCCAAAACCTCAAAAAATGTACCCGAGGTGTATGCATGGGGCAAAATTCCCAGAAACTAAGTAAGCACAGAGCAGCACAGCTGGGGCTCACAGAGCTAAGCAACGATTTCAGCCGCCCAGACGTGCTAGCGAGACAGACTGAGAGTTCAGCCCAGTGGTGGGAAGACCCTGCTAAATGCCCTGGCTTTCAAGCACAGCATTCTGGGAATGCAGCATATCAGAAAGGCCGAGCCCTAACAAGGCTTCAAAATTCACATCTCTGCAGAGCTCAAATCTCTGTCTTGAGGTCCATCTTCTCTGGTTTCTCAACCATTTAAAGAATATTTGAATTTCTTGTCATCATCTTTCAACTAAGATGCTCCTAACTTCCATCTACCTTCGATACAATAAGCTAATAAAAGAGAAAAGAATTAGGTAATTATCATTGATTAAAATAGTTTAAAATTATTCTTTCTTCTTTATTTCTATTGCCCTTGACCACATCTAATCTAGGCTGTTAGCACTTCATATCTGGAATACAAATCCTTCACTAATTACCCTTCTGTGGTCTATTCCTATCAAGTGAACCAAATAACTTGGTGCTGAGTATATGTGCTGGCTGATTAAAGACAGAAACCACGATGTATTTTACAACTCTTATGTGAATGACACTATAATTGGGTGTAACATAGTAAACATTCTAGTATGTCTACCATGCTGCTAAAAGATGACCAGATGGCGTTGAGATATATCGCTAAAAACAAACTCATCAATTACATCTCTTAAATTATATCTCTTATCCATTCTCTTCTCTTCATCCTTAGTCTAATCTTTCATGTCAGCTTCCATTAGAAAGCCTCCCTGTGACTACTATTACCAATATTTTCCAATCTTATCAACTCCAGAATGACTTTTTCTAAAATACAAATTGGATCATGTATCTCATACATTAAAACCTACAAAATGAAGTCCAACTTCATTAGCAAAGCACACAGGGTCATCAAGAATTGGTCCCTACTCATTTCCTAAGCTGCATCCTGGGGCCTAGCACATAACTGATGCTCAATAAAGGTTCACTCAACAAATGAATGTATCTTTGAGTTAGAAAAGGATGAGGTCATGTGGGCATGAAAACAAACTTGGACTTAGTTCACTTTACAGAACAGACTACCCTCATGAAACCCCAAATCAGTTCCAAACCACATCAGTGTCATACTCAAAGGAATTTAAGCTCATTTTTCAGGGTGTCATTCCTAAAAATGAGATAGACTACTTTAACTTGTGACTCATTATTTGGCTCTTAATCGTCATGCTTGGTTTAATTTAGTAGGGTTACATTTTGGTGCTGGCATGCTTAGGTCTGTACAGACAGAATGCAGGATCTTATATCACTTACACCCAGTGATAACAGTTTTTGAATGGTGGTTGATTCGTTGCGTTCTCACGTAACAACAAGAAAATGTCTGTCTTCCACTTCTTCCCCAACAACCTTCCATTTCTTTCCACACACATCTCACACTATTTTCTTTTCTTTTTTTTTAATTTAAAAAATATATATTTTATTGATTTTTTTACAGAGAGGAAGGGAGAGAGATAGAGAGCCAGAAACGTCGATGAGAGAGAAACATCGACCAGCTGCCTCTTGCACACCACTTACCGGGGATGTGCCTGCAACCAATGTACATGCCCTTGACCGGAATCGAACCTGGGACCTTTCAGTCCGCAGACCGACGCTCTACCACTGAACCAAACCGGTTTCGGCTCACACTATTTTCAAGCGGCATGGGAGCTCAGCCTTCTCTCCCCAAGCACTAACCTCTATGTTGAAGGTGACCACAGTGCCGTTTGCTAGTCCTGCGTAGAGGATTCGCCATCTGCTGTGAAGGCAGAGGACGCGGTCGTCCAGCTGTAGCTGCTCCATACACTCTCGCGTCTGATAAAATACACAGCACCGTATCAGCAGAGGTTAAGCAAGCAGAATGTGAAACCCCCTTCTGAAAGCAGAATATGAAATGATTTTATGAGGAAGTAGTATCATCTATTTTGTCGAAGGCCATCTTAGATATTTTTTCTTCTTTGAAATATGTGGCCAAAGACTCTCAAGCTGTAGGTAGTAACAAAAACAAATAGAAATTCTATAATGTAACCCATATTTCTAATATGGAATATGGAAATTCTTCGAAGGGCACTAGGAATCAAGTATTAACCTCTTAAATTAAGTAGCCAAAGATAAAGTTAAAGCTGTATTTGACATCTAAAAGAAAAATTATAGTTGTATATGTAATTGCATTAATGAAATATGTGCTTTTCCGCAACTGATTCTCTATTTTAATAGCTTCCAAGCGTCTCGTTCAAACCAGTGTCAGGTTAGCCCATCCATAATTACCTATGCCTTTAAAATATATAGAACCCCAAGCTTCACAACCAATCACTAGATTCTAATTCAGTAGGCTCTGGATTGTGTATTATATTTAATGTCCTTAGCAATTTTGATGCATATCCATGTTAAACAAGCACTGTTTAATCTGACCTTCAAGAAACAATTTTGATAAATTTCCAGAACTGGGTTATATTAGCAAATTTAATTACCTAGAACCTAAAATAGGGCCAATAACACACTAAGTGCTCAAGATTTGTTGTTAATGATACCAAGCAACTAAATGCCAAATGTAGCTTTGAAAACAGGTTTGGACAGAGAGGTTAAAACTAAGATGGCTTTAAGTGGGTAGGATGTGTCAAGCTGAGGGTACAATGAAGAGCTGTGGACTGTGAAAGCCCTTGTTTTCTTCTCCCAATCTTCTCTCATACCTACGAGAGTCAGTCTTTTAAAGTTTTCAATTTCTCCCATAAAATTACAAATATAAATGCCACACATGAAGTTGTAAAAAAAAAAAAAAAAAAAAAGACAACTGTTGCCTCTGATTAGTGCAATCTTTTTATAATTTTATAGAGGAAATTGAATTCTATATAATGATTTTTTTAAAAAGAACTATTGGCACATGCAACATGAACTTCAGATACTATGGTGAACTAAAGCTAATAATGCAGAATTGTTTATTTCGATGAAGTTAAAGCACAGACAAACTCTATAATGATAGATGCAAAGAGGAAGTGAGAAGAAAGAAGCATCTGTCTCAGTGTCTCCACTCTACATAGTATAAACACAGCCAGAGCCGGTCAATATGATCACTTTTGATTTCTCTGAACCGCTTACCTTCACATTATAGCAGCGAACGATGTGATCACTGGAGCCAGTGTAAAGGGCGGCGCTCTTCCCTGGGGTCTGAGTAACCAGGAGGCAGTTCACTTTCGAAGTATGGCCCTCAAAGGCACCAATGCATTTCCGACTCTAAAGTCAGGCATAGATCAGATTATTACTTATGGATATAGAAAGATCAGTTACTACCTTTCCTCAGGGAAAAAAAAAAAAAAAATGCTAAAACCCAATAGTTGGCTGCTGCATCCTCAGTGCCTAGGAAAGCGCCTGGTGCACAGTGTTCAGTAAACAGGTGATCAATAATGCCCAGCCAGTGGTCACATGCAGTACGGTGCTTCCAACATGACAGCTGAGTCATACCAAAAAAAACTTAGGGCAATTCACTATAAGGGTGGCAAGAATTTTAATTAAGCCTAGGGCAAGGCTCTCCAACACACAGACCAAAGATCTACCAAATCCAAACTGAGGCTAATTACCCAGGGAGATTCCTGCATTTGATTCAGTAGCTTATGAAAATGCTCCATAACATTCTAAGACATGTCAGGTGTCATCACAGGTCCTAGTGGTCTAGGTACAGTTTTGTAAGCCTAATAGTTATCTGTGCTATCTCTGAGATCTATTTAGAATATATACCTATGCATATACTTATCTTGCAATTCAGAGTTAGAGCTAATCCCCCAAACCTTACACTCATACTTACTGGTACCATTGCTTCTTTCCATCAGTGATCCTTTTGCCCCTCAGATTATTAGACTAAAGGAACCTATATACTTATTGCCTACAGCAAACACATTTTCTTGGTTCTATCATCTAACATTTTGATTTTTCAGAAATTCAGCAATTTCAAATACGTTCACAGTGTTTGTTCAGACAATGCAGTGTTCCTAAAGTTTCTTGGCTATCATTATTGAAAAACAGATTTAGTTTAACATAAACCAAATTCAACTCTCAAAAATTCATTCTATGAAAATTCAGAGAAATGGGCATTAGATTATACGAGATGTGTGTAGTGGAAGACAGTTGCTCTCTTGAATAACTTGTACAACTAATCAACTATCAGGGAAAAGGCTTCCTCTCATACTTCCCCAGAATTCTTTTTACTTCCCTATTATATAGCAGCCAGCAACTGACTTCATCACAAGCTCCAGGGATCTGATCAGCCCACAGATCTGTTGTAATCCCACCTTCCTTTGCCAACTGCCAAGTGCTCATTCAGGGAATGATGCCCGAGACCCTGGTTTGGTGGTGGGAGGAAAAAGAAACCCCAGCAGCTTCTGGATCTATTTGTGAGCAGGAGAACACCTGAGGAAGAGGTGATGTGAAGAAAGTAGAGTGGAGACAGAATAAAATCAAGTTCCCAGGGACCCTGTGGAGCAGCCAGACCAACTTTACCTAAAGTTAGTCTAAATCCCACCCATATCTAGACAGCAAATAAATTCCCCTATTGCTATGAGTTGGAGTTTCTAAAACCTGCAACTACTGAAAACATTCAAATTGCTGTGTCAGCTTACCACCAGATTATAAGCTCGCACGGTTTTATCTGCTGAACAGGTATACAGTAAATTCCCAAATATCTGAATTGCATTCACTGCAGCTTGGTGCCCCTCAAAACTCCCTTCTGTGGGCTCGTCATCATCTCCTGGCTCTGAAGATATTTCTAGAAACAAGAATATGTTTCATAAACATGTACACTGTGTCTAAACAGATAAGCAAAAATTAAAATCATTTCATAACATGGTGGCCCTGTGTTCTCCTTAGAGTTTCTGTCGCAAAATACCATGGTTTTCATTAAGATCTTCATTATGAAGATTTACAGTAAGAGAAAGCAGGGAAGACCTTTCATTTTAAAAAATGATACTTGCCCTGGTCAGTTTGGCTCAGTGGATAGAGCGTCAACCTGTGGACTGAGAGGTCCCAGGTTCAATTCTGGTCAAGGGCATGTACCCAGTGGAGGGGGTGCGGGAGGCAGCTAATCGATGTTTCTCTCTCATCGACGTTTCTAGCTCTCTATCCCTCTCTTCCTCTCTGTGAAAAAATCAATAAAATATATTTTTTTAAAAAGAAAATACTTGTATAATGAGTTTTTGAGTGATAAAGGGAAGGCACCAAATATCTGTCACATACAGTTATTTCACTGAGCAAGACATTATTCTTTAAGCAGTTCTGCCTCAAAGCAAAAACCCCTGGAGCCAATGAAACCTTAATATTAAATAACTGAATAGATAAGAGAGCCAAGTAAGAGAGATGGGCGTAAGAAACTGAAAAGTAGGATTTGAGGATTTAGGAATACCATAACTTCTGGTCAAAAGCAATCCCCTTGACGCTAACTCCTACCCCCTATTCTATAAGTATATTTAAGCAGATTTAAACCCTGGCTCTAACATTTACAAGCCTTTTCTCTGTGGTAATTTAAATAAAACAGAACAACCAAATACCTGAAGAGTTCTTCGATCCTTTTATGGAGGAGATCACGGTCTGAGTTTCTGCCACACTACAAAACAATAACAAAAGTCTTCTTAGCATCTGTGTGAACAGGACAGGCAGCAAAACCTAAATGTTCCTGAGTCAAAGTATTGTTCTAATCAATGGGCAAAGTAGCAATGATGAGATCATTTTCCCATCTGAAATTTCTATATGAAAGGAAATAAAAGTATAGTAAATATTTGTAACACAAATGAGAAAGCAGCAAATCTCTACTGCCAAGTTTTTGAGTCTTCCACATCTGCAATGCCTAAAGATTTTCTATAAATTTGATTTTTTTTAAAACTTCTGAGTCATAACAGAAAGTTTTATATATATATATATATATATATATATATATATATATATATATAATTTTTTTAAGAGTGAAAATTTTAAAAATAAATAAAAGAATGGTGAAAACTGTTCTGATTGGACCAATACAACATCCCCCTACCTTACAGGGATACCGTCTTTATAGCGGGTGCCAATCTCACTGGTAGAGCTAACTTCATCACAGCCAGAACGAGACGTTTCTAACGAATGTTGCTCTGTGCAGTTCCAGATATCCTTCTTGGATGGGCTGTCTGGCTTCTCCTCTCCAGAGTCAGAGGAATCAATGGCCACCACTTCTAGCTGAGGGTTAGGCAGTTCTAGGACTTCCAGGGAGGAGTCACTCTCTGGCTCATCCCTGACGCTCTCCTGTTCGAGCCCAGTTCTGCTGTCTTCCCAGGTGGAGGTTGTTACTTTCCCTCCTTTGGTTGACTTTCCAGTCTTTGCTTTCCTCACAGGTTTGGCAGTGAAGACATCCTGTTCGGTGTCACTGTTCTCAGGAACATGGGCGGCTCGCAGAGTTTTCTTCTTCCTCAGTTTCTTCTTTTTCTTGTTCCCCCGCGTTTCAGCCGATGTCAGAGTAGACTCTGCTTGTTCAGGCTGGTCAGCGGGAGAGAGGGGCTCCTTCTCTAACGGGGTCTCTGAGGCAAAGACCAACCTCGGGAAAGAACTGGTACAGGCTTCAGACCCGCTGTTGCCTTTGCTTGGCTCTTCGCCGCCTTTATTTATGCCAGGAAGACCAGCTGACTGGGAAGAGAGAGCATGTTCCCCGTTTCTGGTGCTTCCTTGCTGCACAGAAAGCCTCAGTTCCTGGCTGGGCTCATGGAGATTTCCTGTTAGCTCTGACAAGGACAGCGGTGCCGTGAGGGATGCATCAACTGGACGCCGGTCACTGACCTCTCCTGAATAGAGAAGGAAAAAATTATGGCACCTTTTTGTGTCTGTTATTTATAGTCATCAACTGCAATTGTTACTGGTTGAATCTCTAACAAATAATGACGTTTCAGTGACACATTAAACCATTGCTTTTAAAGCTGTTCTCTTACCCCTCAATTTCCTATAACCGACATAAATGTCTGTTACACCACTTAGTACACTTTGCCTTGCTCAATCTCACGAATAACGTGCATGTTTTATACCCTATAAAAGCTCCTTATGGGCAGGAATTGTTTCTATCAATCTTTTTTCCTTGTTTCTTATTTGAAATATCCACATACTGAACATCATGTTCTATTCTTAGACACTAAAGTATCTATTTAACCAAAGTGCATTTCACTATGCATTTTACCTGTATATCATCCAGTTAGCTAGTACATACTAGTAGTTAAAAAGTCAGCTAACTTAAAAATGTACATTTTTTTTGACTTAGCTATTTCATGACTATAAATTTAAACTGATGAAATAATCACATACTCAAAAAGACATTTATAACATAATGTTACACAGAATCCTAAAAACAAAAAAACAACTAAACATTAAAAGGAATTAAATAAATATTGCACATCCAGATTATTATGCAACTTCTCAAATATTATGTAACTAGTAAAATAAAATATTTTAGATGAATTATTTTTATGACATAGGGAAATGATCATGACATATTAAATAGAAAAAAGCCAAATTACAACAGACTACAATCTATCCTTTGTATAAAATCTACATGTACACACCAACATGTACGGTTTTTTTTAAAGTCTGAAAGCCCTAGCCAATGTGGCTCAGTTGGCTGAGCGATAGCCCAGGCACCAAAAGGGAGTCGATTCAATTCCTGGTCAGGGTTCATACCCACATTGTGGGTTTGGTCCCTGGTTGGGGTATGTGTGTAGGAGGAAACCATGTTTCTCTCTCACACTGTTTCTTTCTCTCTCCCTCTCCCTTCCCCTCTCTATAAAATCAATAACAAACATATTTTTAAAACATCCTGCCCTAACCAATTTGACTCAGTAGATAAGAGCCTCAGCCTACGCACTCAAGGGTCCCAGGTTCAATTCCGATCAAGGGCAAGTACCTTGGTTACAGGCATATCCCCAGTAGTGGGTGTGCAGGAGGCAGCTGATTGATGTTTCTCTCTCATTGATGTTTCTAACTCTCTCTCCCTCTCCCTTCCTCTCTATAAAAAATCAGTAAGATATATTTTAAAAATAAATAAATAAAATATTTCCCTATTCTGATATCATAAAAAAGACTGAAATACAAGTTGTCCCAAAAAAATGTATACACACTTTGAATGATTATAAAGTCAGTGTTTATTAATATACAGTTCATTTTCAAAACTTAAAAGAATCTACAGAAATGAATAATTTTTTTGTCAATGCCCGTTTTCAAACTGGTGACTGTTCTGGTCCAGGCACTGCTGATAAGGTGAAGCAATGGAATCGCAAACATAAAGAATCATTTCGTTCGGTATTTGCACGCCCTCAACCTATCGACTGTTGCTGGTTTTTTAACGTAAACTTTTATGTATCCCCATAAAAAAATAAAAAAAAGTCTAGTGGCACTTTAGGATAAATTTTCTTTGGTCAAAGCTTAGTCTGGCTTCAAATCAGTTAAACCTGAAAAGGACTGAAAATTAAGTGAGTGTATACATTTTGGGGGGACACTTATACATATAACTTATTTATATTTCTAGTTTCCCAATTACTTATAATGAACATAAATTAGAGCATTTTTTATTCTTAAATTTTTTAAATTGATTTGAGAGAGAGGGAAGGAGATGGAGAGAAAGAAAACATCAATAAGAGAGAGAAGCATCAATCGCCACCTCCACTGGGGATCTCGCAACTTGGACCTGTGCCCTGACCAGGAATCAAATTGGCAACCTCTTGGTGTTCAATGATGTTCAACTGAGCACACCAGCCAGGGCAACATAAATTAGTCTTACAATCAGAAAAAAAAATAAAAAATAGAATTAAAATTGTTTTTTAAAAATTAGTTTAAAAGATCACTATATTCTTTATTACTAGTTTTTTAAAGAAAATACTAAATATCGCCCATATAAAAGTAACAAAATTCAATATAAAAGACAATATACATTTGATACAGGTATCTTTACCTTTTGAAACAGGTAAAGAAATAGAATAATTCTTCAGAATTTTTATTTTGGCTTAAGAAATTACACAATGCCTGTTTGTTTACTTTTTACTTAACTATTAATATAGCACCATTGTGGCTATGCTAATTTCAAGTAATATTTTAAGTTACTCAGAAGTTATTTTCAAATGGTAACCAAGTGAGTGTTATTTTAGGTAAAGACTAAAACTAACAACCTTGGCTATTTCTCAAAACCATTCCAGTTCCCATTAGATGATTCTCAACTCAAGAGCCCCCTCTACCTTTCGTCATGGCTGCCTGGTTTCTATTAACCATGGTTGTGCTTTAGGTGATAAAGACAATCAAGTGCTAAGAAATTCAGAGAAAATATCTTATCTGACCGAACAACATCAACCTTATTTATCACCCAGAACTAAATAATTCTGCACCAATCCTAATAAGTGGAACTTTTTAGGTGCTAATATAAAATCAAATAAGTAATTCTATATTAGAGAAAAATAAGGAAAAGTTATTGATATTTAAGTATTTCTCCTGAATGAAGAAACCCTTAAGAAAAATTAATTGTATTAACTTCAGTTTAATGAACAAGTCTAATGTTACATCACTGATATAAAATTGCCCATTACAGGGTTGCCCTTAAATAAGAGAAAAATTGACATACTATTACCTTGCAGTAATTCCTTGGACACATTGCAAGGAGAGCCTTGTGACACAGCAGCCACATTATCTTCTTGTTCAGAAGACATAGGTTCTTGTTTAATCTGAATCGATGAGTCCGGAGCAGGAACACCGCCATGGGCTTGGAAAGTGGGAGATGTGGGTACTTGGCAAGGGACTCCTGTGGATGATGGAGGCTCTAGGAAAACTGGGAAGAAGGGAGTAGGCAGCAGCGTGGCATCAGCAGATGTTTGCGATCTACTGCTTCTCTGTTCTCGAGTAAGGCTACAGGGAAGCTGGTATGGGCGTTCAGAAGGTTCATATGTTTCTGAAATGGAATACATACATACATACAAAAGCAAAAATGTTATCTGAAAAGTCACTTGTTTCTTAGCCAATATGTATTTTTAAAGATTATATAAGAATTTAAAGGTTCTCCTAATTCTTCAAAATAGATTATCATATCTACAAAACCACCAAGGCTATAGACAGAATAGGCATTAATAATTTTTCAGATTTTGCCGAAACCGGTTTGGCTCAGTAGTAGAGCATTGGTCTGTGGACTGAAAGGTCCCAGGTTCAATTCCGGTCAAGGGCATGTACATTGGTTGCGGGCACATCCCCTGTGCAAGAGGCAGCTGGTCGATGTTTCTCGCTCATCGACGTTTCTAGCTCTTTATCTCTCTCCTTCCTCTCTGCAAAAAATCAATAAAATATTTTTTTTTAAATAATTTTTCAGATTTTAAGTGACTTATCCAAGGTCATTCTAATAAAGAGGTAATATGCAAATTGACCATCACTCCAACACACAAGATGGCCGCGCCCATGTGGACACAAGATGGCTACCACAAGATGGCCAGCAGGGGAGGGCAGTTGTGGGTGATCAGGCCTGCAGGGGAGGACAGTTAGGGGTCACCAGGCCTGTAGGGGAGAGCAGTTGAGGGGGACCAGGCCTGCAGGGGAGGGCATTTAGGGGCGACCAGATCTATAGGAGGGCAGTCAGGGGCAACCAGGCTGGCAAGGGCAGGAAGTTAGGGGTGACCGGGCCAGCAGAGGAGGGTAGTTAGGAGTGACGAGGCTGGCAGGGGAGGGCAGTTAGGACCAATTGGTCCGGCAAGGAAGCATACGTCGATCAGGCTAGCAGAGGAGTGGTTAGGGGTAATGAGGCTGGCAGGCAGAAGCGGTCAGGGGCAATCAGACAGGCAGGTAGGCAAGTAGTTGGGAGCAAGCAGTCCTGGATTGTGAGAGGGATGTCTGTGTCAGTTTAGGCCCGATCCCAGTGAGCCTAAACAGGAAGTCTGATATCCCTCAAGGAGTCCCAGATTAGAGAGTGTACAGGCCGGGCTGAAGGACACCCCCGCCCCTGCACAAATTTCATGCACTGGGCCTCTAGTATAGATACTAATAGAAGAGACAAGATTTGAACCCAGGTGTTTTGATTCCAGGGCCAAGGCTCCTTCTGTAATATACTGTCTCCATTGCTAAGCATTTTGGGGATGGATGTACAGTCTTACAGACCTTTCAATAGAAGAATGAAACCAAAGAGACATGAGAGAAATCATATGATTTTTTAATGACTATTTCAATTCCCCTCTAGAGAGAAAAAAAATAACAAGCTCCAGAAGGCCCAATCCAAATACCTTGCAATCCCTGTAGAATCTGTATTCTATGTGTCCTCAGTGCACTCATCTCCATAGTTATCTAAAAACAAAGTATTTTGTCATGAATTTTCAAATCCAATTTGAGAGATTATCCATTTTCATTAAATGTTCCACCTGCTGTTACCTGCTGCTTGAGCATAAGAAGCCTCTGAACTTCAACGTAAGCTGTCTGAAGTGCTGTCCGGGCTTGCAGAAGGTTGTTATCCATGCACTGCAACGACTTGCTTAGTTCTTCCTCCCTTAAAGAAATATTCAGCAGCTGGTCGACCTGAGAACGTTCTGCCAAAAGAAACCATAGCCTTAATACTGGAGATCCTCTTTAGTATTTATTCAATAATATAGCTCCTCAGAACACAGAACTACATCAGTATCTAGAATAAGCCTTTATTTCTCCCCAATAGTACCAGAGACTCACTGAATCTCACAAATCATATAGTCAAGCCAGTTGCTGTCAGAGCGGGAAACTGAAAGTGAGAACTGGTAAGATGAAGGCGCCTCAAAGGTTCAGGAGTACCACCACGTGATACCATCATCCTAATAACCATTTTCCACCACTGCCCTTCCAGTGAAATCTTTGTCCCAAGCAAATCCACTGCTGCAGTTTGCACTTCCCTCTCTTCCTATATCTGCCACACTATTCACCCAAGGCTTCTGCTCAGATTAGACCCCAGATCTGTTCTGCTTTCAGTCTCCTCCCAATCCATATTTTTCTAGTCTGTTAATTAATATATTTATGTTTATTAGAGAAATCTGCCTGAAGGAGCTATAGCAAACTTTTCCATTACTATAGTAGAAAATCAAATTTTTTTGTTACTTTAAATAAAATGTTCTATTATATGTATTTGTCATCTCTGTTTGTCTTTTCCCCATTCAATATGCCAGGACCTCTTCCCTAAACCCCAGACTCACATATCTAACTACCAACTTGGTATCTCTACCTAGGTGTTTCTAAGGTCCTTTTAATAAATAAATAAATAAATAAATAAATAAATAAATAAATAAATAAATAAATAAAATGTTTTTATTTATTTCAGAGAAAGGAAAGGGAGAGATAAAAACGTCAATTATGAGAAATTGGCTGCCTGCAATTGAGCTGGCAACCTGGACAGGTGCCCTGACTGGGAATCAAACTGCGATCTCCTGGGTCATGAGTTGACACTCAACCACTGAGCTACACCAGACGGTCCTTTAACTCAAGGAATCCAAAAGGGAACTGGTCATCTTCCTCTATTCTCAACCTGCTCCTCATGGAGTTTTCTAGCTGTCATCATCCACACAGGTGCCCCAGCTAGAAACTGGGGTCATCCTCGGTTCCTACCTTACACATCACTTCCACTCCCCCAAGGCTCTTTCAATCACTTCCCGCACTAGCTCTCATACTGGATCAGGGTTAGGGCCAGTGCAAAGCAAGCGTTGAAGAAGCGTATCAGTCAGTGAGCCATCTTAAAAACTTCTCATTTCACATGAGAAAAGCAACCAAGATTCATAAAAATGGAGACTAAAAGAAATGAATAAATGGACAAAAATTTACTGAAGGCCTATTCTTCTTTATACCATTGAAAAGGCCCAATGAGACTTTCTGTTTTTATATTGAACTCAATTTGCCCAAAATATATATTAACTTTAGTTTACAGGTGTATGTGGCATCATATATTTCTCCTATAGATGCAACTGTATGTTATGTATATAGAAAATCAAACTTTTCCATGCACTAAGCAAGACAACAAAAGTGTAAAAAAAATAATAATAAATGGGCAATTAGTGTTTGAAAACCACAAACTATACTATGTAAAGTTGTAAAAAGGCTGAATTGCTAAAGAACAATTTCCTTCTGCCACAATATTCTGCACTATACCTTTCTTTCCTTTAATTTTCCTTCTTTTATTTTTTCTCTCAAGACTTGGGAGTTCAGGAGAAGATCCATCCTGAGGAAATATAGAAAATTGAATAATATTAAATATATAATGGCCATTATCTGGGGGGGGGAGAATTAGTTCTGAGATAGTCATACAATATTCTGTTATTATTTTTATCATCACCAACAGGATAGTAATAGAAGTTTTCTGTACATGATATGAACTAAAATATTAGCTGAATAAATATATACACATGATTTTTTTTTTTTTTTAAATCTAAGGTCAAGTACCTTTTTAGCATTTTAGAAGTATTAAACCCCATAGGGCAGAGGCAAAGTATTTCATACCTTGGTAAAGCAAGACCTGGAAGTATGGACAAAACCAGTGATACATATATCTGATTACAGAGTGGCACAGTTTCTACTTTAAATTTCAGCAATAAAATATTTACAATGAAAAGCTAAAGAGTCTATTGAACAAGCCCTAAAATATTGGCAATCATAGAACAATCTCTCACACAACTACAGTATCTAGCTCAAAGGGGGGCAGAGCTGGAATTTGAATCCAAGCCTACAGCCCAAACCCTTATTCGCTCTGTTATATCGGGTCTAGTAATAATTAATGTCGTTTTTAAACATTCGTTTAAAATCTTGCTTGGCATTGACTTGTATTGACATAACCTTCAAACACGTGGTATCTACAGAACGTGTGAAGTGCAATTAACAAGTTTTGCTTGAAAAAGTTTGTGTTTGGTTTGGTTTTTGTTGCAAAACTTGGGCTAAGAAGATGGCGGATGAAGAGCATATTCGGCACTGCATGCTTTACGAGTTCCAATTAGGAAGAAAAGCAAGTGAGGCTGCAAAAAACATCTGTAGGGCTCTTGGTCAAGATGCAGTTAGCGCCAGAAAATGCCAGCGTTGGTTTGAGAAATTTCGCGAGGGAAATTTTTCGTTAGATGACAAGAGTGGTCGAGGCCGTGTGTCCAATTTTGATCAAGAAGCTCTTCAAGCTCTTTTGGTGCAAAATCCTCAAATTACCCAACAAGAGCTTGGGACAACTTTAAATTGTTCACAAAAAACAATTTCCAATCAATTGCGTGCACTTGGCAAAGTCCAAAAGTTTGGAAAATGGGTTCCTCATGAGTTGACCGACAACAACCGTAATCAAGAGTCACAATTTGCAGTTCGCTCCTCTCTCGTCAAAACCGTTTGCCGTTTTTAGAGCAAATTGTTACCGGAGATGAAAAATGGGTGCTGTATGTTAATTTGAAAAGGCAGCCTCAATGGTTGGACAAAAATGAGGCTCCGCAGCCCACGCCAAAACCTGACTTGCATGCGAAAAAAGTGATGTGTGTTTGGTGGAATTTTAAAGGAATTCTTCATTATGAACTTTTACCATCTAACCAAATCATTCCAAGTGCAGTGTATAGTGCCCAATTGGAAAGGTTAGACCAAGCTTTAAGAGAAAAAGAACCCGCGCTGATTAATCGGAAGGGCGTAATTCTTCACCATGATAACGCACGACCGCATACTGCAAGAATCACTGCTGAAAAACTGCGCCAGTTGGAATGGGAAGTTCTCCCTCAACCTGCATATTCTCCTGATATTGCCCCTTCCGATTACCATTTGTTTCGTTCTTTGTAAAACTTTCTTCTTGGAAAAAAATGTAATAATGAAGAATGCCTCAAAAATGCATTGACCGAATTTTTTGCATCAAAATCACAAGAATTTTACAACAGAGGGATTAAAATGCTTCCTGAGCGTTGGGCACAAGTAGTAGAAAACAACGGCAACTATACTGTTGATTAAATTTTGTTGTATTGTTTAAATAAATTCGATTTAAAAAAGGTATTAGAAAACGACATTAATTATTACTAGACCTAACTAGAGGCCCAGTGCACAAATTCGTGCACCATTGGGGTCCCTCAACCTGGCCTGCGGGATCGAGCCAAAACCGGCTCTCCAACATCTCCGAAGGGTCCTGGATTGCGAGAGGGCACAGGCCGAGGGACCCCACCCATACATGATTGGGGCCAGGGGGATACAGGAGGTCTCCAGGATATGTCCAGCTTATCTCACTCAGGCCAGACTCCAGCAGCAAGCTAACCTACCGGTCAGAACATCTACCCCCTGGTGGTCAGTACACATCATAGTGATTGGTTGACCAGTCAACTGTCTGCCCCAGTGGTCAGTGCACATCATAGTGAGCAGTTGAACAGCCTTAGCATATCATTAGCATATTATGCTTTTGATTGGTTGGACGGCTGACCAGACGACCAGCCACTTAGTATATTAGACTTTTATTATATAGAATTGCCTCAGTATTAAATACCCATTTTTTCACACTGCTAGATTCCAGATTGTATTACCATCACAATTCTTCCTTTTCAGAAAAGGTTTCTGAAAGAGTTAAGCAATATTAGCAACAGAGATGCCAGAACAGAAGTGGTGTCAGTGAAGGAACGGATTCTGAAAGGCCATCCTGGCTAACTGAAGTACGAAAGACAGAGTAACGGAGATTACAAATACTTCTAAGACTATGCATATATAGATGCACTCCAGTGGTATTAAGACTTGGTGGTAAGCCTAAAACTGCTATATCCAACAAGCCTGCATGCCCTCTGAAGGCAAGACTAGAATGCCTTTCTTCAGCAGCCGTACAGAATGCATCATGGAAACAGATAAAGTTACAGCTGAAGATGTGGCTTACTCCCTGTCATGTGATATAAAAATGATTGGCTTGATGACTAATTTTAGAGATGACTTCATATTTTCCTAGTACTGTACAACTGTATTCAGTTACAACGAACTTAGTAGAATTACTCAGTGAAAGAAACCAGGAGAATAATCTGAAAGAGTAAGAACCTCACAAGTCTTCTATGCCACCCAAGACACCCAAGGAAAATTAAACCGTTAAGTCTTCCTTATAACATCCAAGTCACCACATAAAATGTTCTACAAAAGACACAAGGAATCATACTCACTCCAGTGGCTCTTCGTTTCTTTCTAACGTTCTGACCGTCATTTTGTTCAGCACCAGAGGTACAGCTACTATCTGTGCCTGCATCTGCCAAACTGGAGCCTGCGAGAGCTGAGGATGCATACGATGACAAAGAGTTTCCTTCCCCGTTACTCTCCTTGGCGCTCGGATTCTCTGAAGGTGGTCCAGAACTCGCCTGGCTGGTCAGGTCTTTTGTCAAATGCATCAAAGACTTTGCACAGTCAGAGGGTAACTGTGCGCTGTGCCGCCTTCGAGGAGCAACATTTTCCGCCCTTTCCCCTGTTCTTAGCGAGGCAGCCAGAGGAGCCACCTCCTGCTTAAGGCCCCCGGTTGACTTCTGACTCTGTGCAGCCCTCAGTGAGTTAGTAGGTGAAAAAATCCGCTGGGGCTCATTTTCTTTGCCTGCACCCTCCTCAGTGAAGAAGCCATACACAGGCGCCCTGTCCATGATCACACTGCTCTCAGAAAGGCTTCGCTTCCTCGCCAATCCAGGAGACGAAGAAATGGACACATCTTCCCACTGGAATCCTTCTAGAGTGGACAGGTCAGGTTCCTCATCCAAATCCAAGACCTCTTGCTCATTTTGAACCAGAGGCACCATTTCTATGCCAAACCTTAAGGAAGGAAGAAAAAAATCATAAATCCAACATGGCTGAGAGAAGGCAGCGCCACCCTGTGTTCCAGCCTCTGCTGTGCCCTGAAATGACAAACATAAATAAGGTGGCTCGGCCTGCGAGGACCTCAGCCTGAGAGCTTTATGTAAATTACCAGTGTGAGTTTTGTATTGTAGGTATTGTAAGGCAAGACACAGAGAGAAGTCTAAATTAGTGATTGTTACTAAATTAGAGATTAGTACACAGCGATGAGAACATGAGAAAGTAAAAATTGAGGTTTTTATTTAACATGGAGCTTGAAACCAGCAAGTACATAATTTTAATAACAAACCAAAACAGAAACGTCTAGTAAGCATTTACAAATGACAGAATTATACTAAAAACTTTATATTTTTGTTGTTGTTGAATATGTCTTACTGATGTTTCAGAGAGAGAAGGAGGAGGAAGGAGAGAAACACCGATGTGAGAAATATCAATCAATTGCCTCCTGTACACACCCCGACTGGGTATGTGCCCTGACTTGAACTGTGCACAGGATGATGCTCAACCAGCTGAGCCACACAGGCCGGCGCAGAGCTTTATACAGAAGGTCCTTGGGTTATGTCGGAGATCCGTTCCTACAGTGCTACGTAACGCGATTTTCGACGTAAGTCGGAACCCACCTACATAAGCACCTAGTCACTCACATGGAGCACATACGCAGCAGTAATGAAGTGAAACAGTAAAAAACATTTAAAAGATAACAATTCCTGACCTTTTCTTGTAGTTAAATAAATGATAAAAAACATAAAGCACATATGCCAAAATGACAGAACTTTTTGTTTTTATTATAAATAAATGGGAGATGGCACCGTAACACAAAACAACGTACGTGAGTCCGACATAACCCAAGGACTGCCTGTATTTATAATCTCAATACTCACAAGTTATGGGAAAGGGAAAGGGGGTACAATAAATACATTATTTCAATAAGGAAAGAAATGTAACTAATCAGTAGGATGATGTTCAAGTAGCAAATTTGTTGAATGCTACTTTATCATTCAGAAAATTTCATACCTCAACATCAGATGATTAGTCAAATTATTACGTAAGTACTTAAAAACAAAATACTTTGTGCCGAAACCGATTTGGCTCAGTGGATAGAGCGTGAGCCTGCGGACTGAAGGGTCCCGGGGTCGATTCCGGTCAAGGGCACATAGGGAGGGAAGGAAGGAAGGAGGGCGGGAGGGAGGGAAACATTGATTTGTTGTTCCACTTATTTATGCATTCATTGGTTGATTCTTGTATGTGCCCTGACCAGAGATTGAACCCACAACTTTGGTGTATCAGAACGACGCTCTAACCAACTGAGCTACCAGGCCAGGGCACACGTATTTTTTGCAAACATTTAATTAAAGGTAACAAGAATTCTTCTCCTGACCAGGGTCAAAGGGTAAACTTGAAGAGAAATGGATACTGAAAAGCAACACATACCTGGGTAAGCCTTTGCCTAGCTCTTGCTTTTTCTTGGTTACTTGATGAATGACCTGTTCCCAGTTGACATTTCTCCGAGATGCATTCAGAATCTGCCGCAGGGTCGGCTTGAGCCCAGATTCCTTCTCTGTGTCACTCTTCCGATGGCCACTGATATTGCGAATGCGGCGAGCACTGTTGAGGTTTGGCTCAGGAAGGTGCGCTCCAGTTTTGCTCTTCAAACTAATGTGCCGGGTGAGATCTCTTTGGAGTGATGCAGGAAAGCCCAGCTTACTTAGTTCGGGCAGGAGCAGGCCTGAGGGCTGAGTTATATCGCTCTTTTGGAGCTCTGCAGCCAAGCTAGGACTCTCAAAGCCCTCCGTCTCATAAGATACATGAGATTTTACAGACTCATCAACCTGTCCACCTTCTAGAGAGGCTTTTAAGTCTAGTAGTAAACGAGAGTGTGGACTGGCTACAGATGTCATTTGTAACTCAGATTCCTTCTGGTGAACTACTGACGTGGACAGTTTTCCAGGTGTTTTCAGGTTTTGGCGCTCTCCCTCCTCCTCGTCAGCATTTTGAGTGCTGCAGGATAAGACTTCTGTCGTTGCAGAATCCAGGGTTCCAATTTGTGTTCCATGCTTTTCCACCTCAGATATTTCTCCATCACTCTCATCTTCTAACGAGTGTACTTGAAACTCAATCTTCAAAGATCCTTTTTCGGACTCTTCTACATTCCTACTTGCTTTCTCATAGTTCCTGGTCCTTTTAGAAGTGCCAGGAAGTGGATCTTGCAATGACCCAGGAAACTGTAGCACCTCTTTGGCTTTTTGTAGAGTATTACTTAAATTTTCATCAGATTCCCTCTGAGTGCCAAATCTGTTTTTATTCCCTTTTAAAACACGAGGACATGAACTTTGCAATTTGGACCTGTAAGAAGAGCCATGATTGTCTTCCCCCTTGTGTTTGTTTAAGGAGTTTGAATGTTTTCCAGGAAAAAAATAATTCGCTTTGGTGTTTTTTGAGGGATTCTTTGAATCTTGCTTTAGAGGGACTGATTTAGTGACTGGAATTGGAAGAAGTGGGGATTTTAATGATGGCATCTTATTTAAGTTATACGCTTGCTCAGGTTTTTCTATAATGCAGTCAGAAGTGGCTTTGTGATTAAGAGATCCAGTATGTGTTTCTTTTTGTGTCTTCAATGTTGGGGAATTATTTGATTCATCCCTTTGGGTCGCTTGTGTTCCTTGGATTAAGGTGAAATCAAAGAAAGGCTTATCTATCATTTCTGACTTGTTCCCAGTAATGTCCTTAATTGCCGATTGTAAATCCAGAGCCTTCTGGGACGGGTAAGGAGTCCAGCGACGGTGCTTTTCCCTTGCGACACTGCTGTTCTTCCCGCCAATTTTGGAAGCTATAGTCTCTGTCTGTTTAGAGGTTTGGCTTTCTGGCTGCTCAAAATTGAAGTCAAATAAGCTTTGTGAAGAAAATTTATCACTTGTATATCCTTCAGAAGGACCTCTGTATGTGGCAACTGTACTAACTTTGTCATTTTCTTGCCGCTGCCATTTATATCTCTCTTGATTGTACTTGTTTGACTTGGATTTCTTGTTCCATGGCTTAGCCATGTCTTCTATCTGACAGTTAGAATTTCTGTTTCTGCCTGGTTGAAATTTGTCTCCAGGGCTACTGTAATTCCAACTATTTGAACTGCGTACATTGGATTTCCAGTTTCCGTTACTGCTGTTCACATGCCAACTGGAAAAGCCACCTGTTCCTTCAGAATGCCAGCCGGAATTCCTTCCTGTACCATTGTGACTCCAATCCACTGTTCCATTATTTGAATGCCAACCACCTCCAGAATTACTATGGTTATGAAACCAAGTTGAGGGGCCTCCTGCAACACCCTTATGCCACCCTCTTGGTCCAGCACCATTCCGCAAAGAATGTGCAAAGCTGTTCTTCCTAGAATTATTAAAGCCATCTTTCTCCCACTTCCAATCCCGCTGAGGAGGGCCCCGGTGGTGCCATGCTGGCTGGCTGTAGCTTTCTCTGTCCTGGTAAGGAATTCTGTCTTCTCGTCTCCGCTGGAGCTGCCTGTCTTCAGACTTTATTTCTTGGCTGCCACTGGAAGGTTCACCTTGTCTGAAAGAAAAAGATTTTCATTACCGACTTAAAGGAATTCTTTTACTTCCTTAAAAGGCATAACCCACCAAACTTCCCCTCGACTTCCCTCCCCTGTTACTTAGACTATTTTGTAATATAGAGTCCATTTTTATTTTTAATAGTAGTTGCTGGCCAGGGCCAGCATTTTAAAAATAAAACCAATTACATTTTGATGCTATGATTAGTTATCATAATTAATACAATTTAAGTTCAGCTGGTCTTAATATTATGATTTCTCCAGTTGTTCTTTCTAGAAAAAACAAACAGTTCTTAAACTATTTTAAATGGTAAGGTTTTACTATGTCAGTGGGGGCAAATTAAAAAAAAAATTTACTATGCATAATGATGTTCATTAATAAACACTTTCAATGACTGTTAGAGGAGAATGAAAACTTCTACCCTGTTTCCCCGAAAATAAGACAGTGTCTTATATTAAATTTTTTCTCCCAAAGATGCGCTAGGTCTTATTTTCAGGGGATGTCTTATCTTTCCATGCGCTAGGTCTTATTTTCGTTGGATGTCTTATTTTAAGGGAAACACAGTATGCACTGTTCCTATTCCTGAAGGGCTTACAATCTAGTTGATAAAATATGGTCACAGAGTAAAATAGCACAAAACAAATAAGCAGCACCCACAATAAGTGCTATAAGGCATTCCATGTGCTTGAGGTTTTTATAAAGAAGTAACGGCTGTATGAATTATTCATGTTAGACAGGGAGCCCACAGAAATGTGATTAAACTTAAGTAAACATCACAGGAATGTGTGTAAAATTATATCCTCTACAAACTTCTTATAATATGTCTAGCATAGTGCTTAGCAAATGAAAGGTGCTCAAAAAATTGAGTAATACTAGGTAAAATTTATTGAATACCTACTAATTGTCAGACATTTAATGCTTAGCGTTTTATATAAATTATCTCATTTAATTTTGCAACTCTGAAACAAATATTTTTATTATTCCTACTTTTTAGCTGAGGATACTGAGGATTAGAGAATAACTTGTCCAGAATAGTAATTGGTATAACAGAGATTGGACCTTGGCAGTCAGTCTCTCCACCCTCAGCCACTAGGCCTTGACAGAATGAACATCCCAAAATAAAGTTTCTATAGTTGGGTTCCCTGTTCTGAACTTGACATGAATCTTAAACTCAGAACTGACTATATTTTTTTTAAATATATATTTTATTGATTTCAGAGAGGAAGGGAGGTGGAGAGAGAGACAGAAACATCAACGATGAGAGAAAGTCATTGATCGGCTGCCTCCTGCACATCCCCAAGTGGGGATCGAGTCCACAACCCGGGAAATGTGCTGGGATGCAACTGTGACCTCCTGGTCCACAGGTCAACACACAACCGCTGAGCCATGTAGGCCAGGCTCAGTACTGATTTAATTGGCTCTAAAAGCTTCTAATGTATTTGAGATTGGAAGTTAACTATAATAATTAGAAATTACCTATAACATGAATTTATTGAGAAGCTCTTTTATCCTCTAACTTAATGTTTAATCTTCACACAGATAAGCTAACAATGGCACAAGAGTGTAATAACCAAAATAGAAGTTAGTCTCCTAGAGGCACTACTAACATCTTAAAACAAGAGTGAAGTACAGCTACACTGAAAGTAGTGAGAATGTCACTTGAAGGACTGAACAATTAAAGAACCAAGTTGCCAATGACATTTTAAAACTAAGAAAGTCTCCTTCAAGGACTTGTTAAAAAAGCAATTATCATATAAAGTAAAAATTATTTTCTTTTTATATTCAAACCTCTAACTAAAAATGAAAGGTAGACCAGATATTACTATTACTCAAGAAGGATCCCTAAAATTTTTTTTTTAGAAATTGAAATGTTTCTCATCATGTCCTAGGACTTGCAAAATTACCCCATCTCATAACTGCTCTCTATTTTACTCATATGTGAAAATTTCTGCTTCAGTAATTAAAGTATTGAGACCACAAATCAGCAAAGTTAAAATATAAAAACCATCCTAATACATTAATATAGATGTAGGTATGAAATTAAGTAGTACAAGCAGGAAAACTTATACTGCTGAAATGATCTTGTCAAATTTAAAAGATAAATTTATTCAATAAATATTTACTAAAGCACTTAAACATGAAACCAAAAATCAAATATGGTATCAGCACCATGTTAATTCAATTAAGCAAAACAGTTTTTCCTATGGGATGCAATAAGAATATTATGTAAAATAGCCACATGAAGCTTGTATACTAATGCTTTTTCTACAATAAAATTTGGATATCAAATAAAAAGAATTTTTTAATAACCAAAAACTTTGGAACTAATAAAAATAGTCCTAAACAGAATTCTCAACATGGTAAAAATTTATGTAGCTTTATGTAGAAATAACACTGAGGTGTGTTTTTTTTTTTTTTTTTTTTTTTAAATATATATTTTATTGATTTTGTACAGAGAGGAAGGGAAAGAGATAGAGAGTTAGAAACATCGATGAGAGAAGGTCATCGATCAGCTGCCTCTTGCACACCCCCTACTGGGGATATGCCCGCAACTAAGGTATATGCCCTTGACCGGAATCGAACCCGGGACCCTTCAGTCCCCAAGCCGACGCTCTATCCATTGAGCCAAATGAGGTGTGTTTTTTTAACCAAAGAGTACAGGAGTTCAAGAAAGCATTCCACTGCCCTTTTATGTATAAAACAGCAACTTTGAGCTAAACTTTACAACTAAGATAAGATGGAATGCTATAGACTGACAAGAATGGAAATGGAAAACGTATTCTCTATCCTATTTCAGATAGGCTTTTTAAAAAAAAAAAAAAATTAAAATCATTACTCACCGACTTTGTTCTCTTCTTTGCTTTATTAACTGAACGAGTTCCTTGTCAAAGTAATCTTCTTCTTCTTCTTCTCCCTTTCCATCATCTTCTCTTTCCTGGGCATCAATGTTATCTTTGTGCAACTGGCCAGAAATATGCTTTGCATATGCAGATAGACCCACTTCTGTGACCCCGCACACCCGGCACTCATGACTGCTGTCCCTAGGGAAAGAGGGAGATGAGGGGCATTCAATTCTCCCCACTGGCATGGCACACTCACCAGATCTGCTATAGTTTCCTCTGAAAGACACTGCACAGGTTGGCACAGTGGAAAATTAGTGCTAATCAATTTCAATAGACCTTTCATCCCTTTTAATGTGTTTGTTCATAGTTTACTTTTTAAAATGAATTTAAGATTCTTTTCCAGCAATCAAGAGGCAGTACACTTCAGAATAATGTCGTCTAGGAGGAGAAATCTTCTTGAGTTGCTGTACTTAACATCTTGCCAGAGGAAACATGGTGAAAGGGGAGGCAGGGGAGGGGGCTCAGAGCAAACAGAAGTTGCTCTGGAGCACACCCATGGTGCCAGCTGCACTCAGGAAGCCTGGTGACAGCACTTCCATTTAATATCGGGCTCAAGAACTTTCTCCCAGTGAAAGTGAAGGGGTGGAGAAAAGAGTAGGCCACACAGCCAATCCCAGCTGGGTAACCAAACCGAACAGCTGGAGCTCGGCCTGGAATGTGAAGATTCTGGGCCCGGGGCAAATGACCAGAGTTGTCTCAGCAAGCTTTTTTGGTCTGAGTGATACATGTGATCTACAATCTGCATCAGAAGGGCTTATTTTAAAGGGAATGGAAAGCATTTCAGTTGTAGGAAGTCAACAGCTGTGCTAGGCAAATGGTTTTTCTCAAGTTTCAGAATACGCTACAGTTTAGAGAGAAGCAAAACCAAGTTCTTAGTTAAGAAATTGATTGAGCAGACTTCTTTTACTTTACACACACAGTGGTAAAGTGCATGCTTTGGCCAGTTCAAGAAGCTATAGGAGATGAATAATTTAACTGCTTTTTTAGCATCCTGAAATCCCTTGATGGTTCAGCTGTCTATGTGGTCATTAAGAAACAACTCAACTCTTATCGTCCGTGTTGGAGTTACACTAGTAACTTTTGTCAAATATTTTTGCATTTCCTATACCGATCTATTAAAAAAAAACCTCACCACAGAAGACATGCTGTCTTTGATAAAATAGACTATATGTATATACACGACTCCGTCTTCCCCTCACATACACCCATCAAGACATGGCAGATTCCTATCAATTAACCAGAAGAGACCTTCAAAACTGAGTACTTCATTTACTAGTTACAAATCACCTAAACAATCATTTAAAAAAACACACAACTTATTAAGCAAATACGAAAGTCTAGGTACCATGCTAAGTAGATGGCTACAAGTTGTCTAGGGTGACAAAATATAAAATGCCCACTATGCCGAGTAAATTTAGGAACAAAGTACACACTATTATTTTCTTTGCAAAAATCATGGAAAACACCTCAGAAAAATGGGGAAAATTCATAGTTTTTGGGGCTTTGTAATCTTAAATGCTCTGGATATAGTTTTTGACATTAAGATTCATCTTAGCCGAATCTGGTTTGGCTCAGTGGATAGAGCATCGGCCTGCAGACTGAAAGGACCCGGGTTCGATTCCGGACAAGGGCATGTACCTTAATTGCAGGCATATCCCCAGTAGCGAGTGTGCAAGAGGTAGCTGATCGATGACTCTCTCATTGATGTTTCTAACTATATATCTCTCTCCCTTCCTCTCTGTAAAAAAAAAATCAATTAAAAAAATATATATATAGCCGAAACCGGTTTGGCTCAGTGGTAGAACGTCGGTCTGCGGACTGAAAGGTCCCAGGTTCGATTCCGGTGAAGGGCATGAGCCTTGGTTGCGGGCACATCCCCAGTAAAGGGTGTGCAGGAGGCAGCTGGTTGATGTTTCTCCCTCATTGACGTTTCTAGCTCTCTATCTCTCTCCCTTCCTCTCTGTAAAATATCAATAAAAATATATTTTAAAATATATATATATATTTTTTTTTAATTTAAATCAACTGTGTTTTCTGGTTAGAAAGTCTTTTTGGTTTTAAACTCTCTAAAATTATGGAACATGTTTTAGTCTATTTTTCTATCTAAAAGCTTACAGAATGCTAACCTGTATATTGCAGTACCAGGAACCTCAATCTAAAAGGCATTCTTAAGTAAAATTTTGATTTTATCCTTATTTCTAAAATGCAGAAAATTTTCATCTCCAAACTATCGAAATCCCTCTCTCTTTAAAGATATAACTGGGAGGCCACACTGACTTTTTTAAATATTAAGGAATGTAGTATAAAGTAGGCAGTATTTAACTCTGTTAAAAATAAACATTCATATTCATAAACCCACACACTTTGCAATCTCCGAAGCACAAGCATATGTTGGACATATAATAGACACTTAAAACACAGATTTTTAAAACATTTCTGCTTTCCTTGCAAAAATGAATTATTAACCATAGTTCCTAAGTTATTCAATAGAAAACACCGTAAGAGATCCTGCCCAAAAGGGTACAGGCACCATAAAAATTAATGGAAACAAGTTATAAAAAAAAAAACAGAAATTGCTAATATTTTTCTTATAAATAAAATCTAGTTTAAAGAAGAGAGAGATAAGCTTTACAAGAAACTTCAAAAAGAGAAAAGAGGATCCATATTTATCTATGGAAAGAACAGGGTAGATCAACCACAAGTCTTAAAAATTAGAACATATCTGTGTCTGGAGACAAGCATATTCTATACACGATATGCACTCATGCTTCCATAGAAGTTAACAGCAAATTAAATAAAATCATAATAATGAGACTTTTCAGTTCTTTATCAATAACCAGTTAAAATATTACTTTGTATAAATACATAAAGTAATTCTTAGGAAAAAGTACTGCTTTACTTCTTGACTAATAAAGGCAAAAATTCTCCTCAGGGCATGCAAAGGGCCAAAATTAGCTTCATCCTGTTACCACCCAATTTCCTCTCCTGTGTAAAAGGCAAAGCCTTAAGATATTCTAGCATAAGCTTTTCTTTATTAAGCTTGCTCTAACTATATCACAACAGCTGGTTGATAAATAAAGGTTTGTGTCTTTTTAATAGCATCTATCCATAGAAACTACTTTCAGGCCACACATCTGAACAAGTATATTAGGAAAAAAATAAGGAAATGCTTCAGATATCCACAATTATGAACCAAATAAGACAAATTATTTAATTCTCAATCAAGCTGGCATTCAAAACCTAAAAAATAAGCTCTTTACATTTTTAACCCAATCACAACCAGAAGTTATAGTGATACAAATAAAAAAAATAAAAAAATAAAAACAGGAAGCTTTAACATCAGAAAGCCAGCATTTAAACATGAAATTCAGCAGAGGGGGGAAAAAAATCACAAACTGATGACAAAAAAAAAGAAAAATAAATAATAATTGATAACTATTTGTCTCTATGCATAAATTAATGGTAACTGCTTGTCCTTACAGTAAATGCTCCAAGTAAGTAGATAATTTGAGATTTTGTTTGTTTTTTATAGTTTTGTCAGCTGTTTTTTCTTGCTATCTGCTTGCCTTCTCCCTTATAATTTGTTACAGGCCAGAAAACCATATATAACATTAGCATTGCATCTAAAAAATCCTAAATAATAAAAGGCTAATATGCAAATTAATCAAGTGACAGAATGTCTGGTCACTATGATGCGCACTAACCACCAGGGGGCAGACCTTCAATGTAGGAGCTGCCCCCTGTCCGTCAGTGGCTCCCACAGGGAGAACACCGCTCAGCCAGAAGCTGGGCTCACAGCTGGTGAGCGCAGCAACGGTGGCAGGAGGCTCTCTCACCTCCATGGCCGTGCTAAGAACCCCTCGGGGGATGTCTGACTGCCAGGGACCTTACCCTCCCCCCCCAGTGCACAAAAGTCATGCACCAGGCCTCTAGAGAGTAAATAATATTAAAGTCCTCTCCTCTAAATAAAAAGAGTTTGGGTGTTAAAGTGGACATTTATATTGTCAGCTCAGAGACTTCCAATGCTCCAAATAACAAAATGGTAGACAAATTCTCCATGGCAGTTAAATTCTCCACTGGATGAAGGAAAAACAAGTTACAGAATAATACATATGTAGCCGTGGTTCGGTTATGTTACTAAGACAAAATGTGTGAGTAGGATATACACTGAACTGTTGACTTTCTTCTAAGAGGAGAGTAAGAGTTGGGGCTTGAGAGAGGGTGGGAAGAGTTAGATGACTTCTACTTTTGTTTTACTTTATGATTCTGTATGGATTATGAACATGAATCTTAATCAAAATTTGTTTTTTAAATGTTTTAAATAGCTGATTAGTGGTATTTGAATATAGCAGGCTTTAATCTACCAATAAAATCAACTTCTCTCCTAATGACTAGATTTATTGACCTCATTTGTTTTATTTTATAATATAGTCAGGTGACAGGCAAATGGCCCAGAATAAGGTGAATTTCTGAAGGAAGTTTGTTGGAAATGGAATTCAGTAATTAAGATGGCCCATATCTTGTTGAAAGTTGACTATTTCACAGGTTCCCAATAATAGTGAGTTGATATATATTCAATGTTATAAGGGCTCTCCACGCTAAAACAGAGTGAAAGGATCATACTGCTGCTAAGACCTAACCTTCACACAGTAAGTGGAAAACTCCACTCATATGCTAAACAGGTGCTGAAAGTTTAATCACATATTAATTTGCTCACACAATCTAAAACTGTATTACTTAAAATATATATAACTCCAAATGGCTTAGGTTGGCATCTGAACAAAGCTTGTAACTATTATGCATGGAATCTACATATATAAAAAGCTAATATGCAAAGTGTCCCCTCGGGAGTTCAACCATGAGTTCAATCGCTCCCTATGATGTACGCTAACCACCAGGGGGTGGCACGGAATAAAGGAAGGCTGGGGAAAGGAGGCCCTGATTGGCCTTGATTGCTAGCCAGGCATAGAGACCCTACCCGTGCACAATTTTGTGCACCAGGCCTCTGGTAAGATATAATTAATATTTCTCAGTTCCCTGATGTTTATGTTTCATATTGACTTCAAATTTCAAATTCACAAAAATCAAAACATCAGAAAAAGGAACCATAGAAGAAAAAAATGACAATGGAATACACAAATATGCTACATTTAATTTTTTAAAGGTACTTACTAGGTTTTCTTTCCTTAAACACCTCAAGCCTTATATCAAAAAATAGCACTTTGATCTTACACTAATGAGATTCTGTACTATTTAGCAGACTTTGGACTTTTCAGACTATTCTAGCAACACTAAAGTTTACTGCATGCAATAAAATGTCCTAATTGCAAGGCTGGTGTGTAGGAATGACAAAGCTTGCTAGCCCATCTCAATACTCCTACTTACTATAGCTGCTGTGAATTCTACACATTTGAGATGCACAAAGATTTAATCTTTTTGAATGACAAAAAAAATCTATTGTACTTGTTATTAATCCTAAAAGATAGTTCTATGCCCTAAGGTAATATTCATTTATGAAGGATAACTATGAAACAGGCTGACAGGTTTCATCGTCCTCAGCTCCCCCCACATTCAGAAGTTTATGGAAGATAATGGTTCCCATACCTGCCCTTCAGGTTCTCAAGTTCCCTGTGATGCAACATGCTCCTCATGTGTTCGTCCATCTCCTTCAAAATTAAAGAAAGCAGATTAAACTAAGGGGGATTGTGTTGTGAAAAAAAAAATTCCTCTGTTCATGTTCAATCAACAATAGGAACTCAAGCTCCTAGTGTCAAAAGTGTTTGTGGTTACTCTTCTCAATTCAATATTGAAATCAGTTCCTTATTAAATATTTCTTTAGCTATGTTCTATTTTCAAATAAAGGAGTTTTAAAGAAAGGCCCATATAAGTGGCTTTCTAAAAAGGTTAGAAAATATATTGTTTTTAGAAGACAAAAATTTTATAAATAAACTAGAGGCCCAGTGCACAAATTTGTGCACAGGTGGGGTTCCTCAGCCTGGCCGACAGGGCTGATCGGGGCAGCAAGACGTTGGCCAGCTGGGGGGAAGAGACTGTGGAAGGCTGGCCAGCCAGCCCTATTGGAGCTGTAGGTCAGAGGGACTGCAGGAGCACACTGACCACCAGAGGGAAGCTCCTACATTGAATGTCCGCCCCCTCGTGGTCAGTGTGTGTCATAGTGACCTATTGACTGGTCATTCAATCATTCAGTCACTTAGGCTTTTATATATATAGATTAAGTGAGCCTGACTGGTGTAGCTCAGTGGTTGAACATCAACCTATGAACCAGGAGATCACAATTTTGATTCTTAGTCAAGGCACATGCTTGGGTTGTAGGCTCAATCCCCAGAGTGGGGAGTTCAGGAGGCAGCTGATCAATGATTCCATCATTGATATTTCTCTCTCTCTCCCCACCACCACCACATCCTCTGAAATAATTTTGAAAATGTATATTTTTTAAAATAATAAATTATGTGGGTTAAATTCTATCCCAATATAAGGAATTCACTAAAGTTTATTTTTTTTAAACTCTGAAATCATATAAATTCTCAATTATATGACTACTTTCCTACATGGAATACACACATATGCTACATTTAATTTTTCCCCACCCAACTGAAAGTTTTTCAAAAGTAAGTTACAACTCATATTCATGTCTTGAATTGCGCCTGGCATATAATTTTCAATATCTGTTAAATAAACAGATGGATACATCAATTCTAGACAGAACTTATGGATATAACAAAACTTCTCCATGATCGATCATAAACTTTTTATAAATACTTTGAACACAGCAGCTTAATCATGCCTTCATCTTCACTGCTTGCTGCCCCTATTTGATTTGTTTGGTTCTAAAGAAAAGTTTCAAAATTTACTAGTTCTCCCCTTTCTGTATCCACCCTTTTTGGAAAGATAATTAAATCTGTGGGAAGAGCTTGCACTTTAAAACATACACATGTATATGCACATATTTCAAAAAACTCAAAAAGCTGTAAAGATCTATCCCTTTGCCATGCCAAAGTAATATAAAGCCAGTATGCCATAAGAGAATGGCTTTTAGCCCTAGCTGGTTTGCCATATAAATTTTGGACAGTTTTTTTTTCTAGGTCTGTGAAATATGCCATTAGTATTTTAATGGGGATTGCACTAAATCTATAGATTGCTTTGGTTAAGCCCTAGCTGGTTTGACTTAATGGATAAGAGCGTCAGCCTGTGGACTGAAGGGTCCCAGGTTTAATTCCACTCAAGGGCACATGCCTCAGTTGCGGGCTTGATCTCCAAAGTGGGGTGTGCAGGAAGCAGCCAACTGGTGATTCTTTATCATTGATGTTTCTAATGATCTCTCTCTGAAATCAATTTTTTAAAAATTTAGAGAATGGCTTTTACATATATTATTAGCTGTATTGAGTATTGCTATTAGCTATGCCCTGTGCTTAAAACATTTTCTCACTTGAACTGTAAAACACTGCCGAGGGAGTATTATCCTATATAATAAAAGCCTAATATACAAATTGACCAAACAGCAGAATGACCAATCGCTATGATGAGCACTGACCAACAGGGGGCAGACGTTCAATGCAGGAGCTGCCCTGAGCCCGCAGGCCCTAGGCCAGCCAAGGCAGGTGCCAGCAGGACCCCCCAATTGCCCCACTGGTTGCCCCACAGACCGGCCCTGATCACCAGGCAGGCCTAGGAATGCTACCTATGCACAAATTTTATACATTAGGCCTCTAGTTCATTTCATAAAGACACAAACATGCAGAGAAGCTAATTCCTTTATTCCCCAAACATTTACCAAGTGCTTATTATCAAGGACAGAAATCAGCATTAAAGGGATAAATATAAAAATGTTCCCATGTGCCGAGACCGGTTTGGCTCAATGGATAGAGCGTCGGCTTGGGGACTGAAAGGTCCCGGGTTCGATTCCGGTCAAGGGCATGTACCTTGGTTGCGGGCATATCCCCAGTAAGGGGTGTGCAAGAGGCAGCTGATCGATGACTCTCTCTCATCGATGTTTCTAACTCTCTCTCTCTCCCTTCCTGTCTGTACAAAAATCAATAAAATATATTTTTTAAAAAAAATGTTCCCATGCTTGTCTTCATAGAGTCATAATCAAGTGGTCAAATTGGGACTCACACTCTGGCAGATCTGACCCCAAAGCCAGTATTTCAAATAGCATGCTACATTGTAAATATCTGGTGCCTTGAGATTTTTCATTAGGTACAGTTCGTTTGTCAAAAAGTATACAACATCTAACATGCTAGTCTTAATTCAAGTTATCTACTACAGAGTGACAAAAAAAAGCTGTTTCAAAACACTCCTTTAAATAGCAATTTTACTAAAGATGACCATTGTTTCCTCTTACCTCTACAAATGTTTCATTTGGAGGGGAGAGCTTTACATGTGACCCCTTCTAACTACAACTGATTTGCCACTAACTAGAATGAATAGTTAAACTGAAAACTGAGTGGAGTTAGTGGCATAACACAGAATGAAAAAAATCCATGAGCAATACACAACAACTGCTCAAATCCCTGTTTATTGTTCAATTTTTTCCTTGGATTATATTACATATGCCAAGGCCCTGGTTAGGTAGATCAGTTGGTTAGAGCATTGTCCCTAGGTTTCGGATTCAATCTCTGTCAGGGCACACACAAGAATAAACCAATAAATTCATAAATAAGTAAAACATAAAAATTCATGTTTGTGTTTCTCTCTCTCTCTCCTGCCCTCCCTCTTTCCTCCTCCCCCCACCAAAGTCAATAAATAATTTTTTAAAGACTTACATATGCCGCCGAAACTGGTTTGGCTCAGTGGATAGAGCATCGGCTTGGGGACTGAAGGGACCCGGGTTCGATTCCGGTCAAGGGCATGTATGTACCTTGGTTGCGGGCATATCCCCAACAGGGGGTGTGCAAGAGGCAGCTGATCAATGACTCTCTCTCATCGATGTTTCTGGCTTTCTATCTCTCTCCCTTCCTCTCTGTACAAAATCAATAAAATATATTTTAAAAAAAAAACAAAAAACTTAAATATGCCAAATCCTCTTTTATTGGGCTAAATTTAACTGGATTCTGTTCCTTGCACTGAAACCATTCCTGACCAAAACTGTATTCACTGAAAGTTATTCTCTGACATAAAACCTAATTCTTTATTCTATTTCAATTATAAAAATGTTATCATTCAAAATTAATTTTAAGGTGAGTTGATTGACTAAAACATTTCCTAATTTTTTTTCCTAAATTTACATATGAAATTCTCTCCCACCTTGCTTTGGAATGCAAAGAGAAACCCAACTGAGTTCTCAAAATAATCGGTAAAGATCTCCAAGCACAGGATTAAAGTAACACATACCTGCTCAGTTACCAAGCTTCTATTTAGATCCTTTTATATTAGTTCATATTATGTGTGTGTTTTAATCCTCACCCAAAAATATGTTTTTATTGATTTTATTTATTTATTTTTCAGAAAGAGAGAGGTTGCCTCTTGCATGTGCCCTGACTGGAGATCAAACCCACAACCTGTTGGTGCACAGATAATACTACAACCAACTGAGCCACTGGGCCAGGACAGTATCATGTTTTTGTTTGTTTTATTTTAAACTTTTTTATTGCTTTTTTAGAGAGAGAGAGAAAGGCAGAGGGAGAGAGAAACACTGATGTGAGAAACATGGATGGGTTGTCTCCAACACAGATTCCAACTGGAAAACGAGCCCGTGACCTGGGCATGTGCCCTGATTGGGAATTGAACCAGCGATCTTTTGTTGCACAGGACACTCAACCAAACCCCCCTGGCCAGATCAGTATTATGTGGTGTTTTTTTTTTAAAGAGGAGGAGGGAGATGGGGAAATTTGGTGGGCACACAAATCTGGAAAACCATATATAATATTTTAAAACCTTTTTTTGTCCAGATGGCATGGCTTAGTGGTTGAGCGTCAACCTATGAGCCAGGTCACGATTCGATTCCCAATCAGGGCACATACCCATGTTGTGGGCTTGATCCACAGTGTGGGTATGCAGGAGATAGCCAATCAATGATTCTCTCTTATCATTGTTTCTCTCTCTCTCTCTCTCTCTCTCTCTCTCTCTCTCTCTCTCTCTCTTTCTCTCTCTCTCTCTCTCTCTCTCCCCCTCCCTCCCTCCCTCCCTCCTTCTCTGAAATCAATAAAAAAAATTTTTTTAAAAACAAACTTTTTAAATATGTATTTTTTAACTCGAGGGCTTTTCAGTCTTTGACAAGATACACAGGGATGGAGTAAACAGCTCATACTTTAAGTCAACCTAAGATTTCTTTCTCCTCCACAGTATATTTGGAAAAACCAGGGTTACACTACTTTGGGAAACTAGAGAGAGCACTGCTTCAACATAAGTTGTTCATGATCTATCTAAAAATAGTATCAGAGCCCTAATCAGTTTGGCTCAGTGGATAGAGCATTAGCCTGCAGACTCAAGGGTCCCAGGTACGATTCCAGTCAAGTCATGTACCTTGGCTGTGGGCACATCCCCAGTAGGGGGTGTGCAGGAGGCAGCTGGTCGATGTGTCTCTTTCATCGATGTTTATAACTCTGTCTCCCTCTCCCTTCCAATCTGTAAAAAAATCAGTAAAATATACTTTTAAAAATAAAAATAAAAATAGAACCAGAGCTATTTCTTTCAATTAACCTATTATGCTAATTTCTTGGACCACATTAATCTTAACACTTAAATCATGCCATTTCCTTGCTTAAAGGCCTGTAGTTGGCTTTGCCTAAAGATAGTCCCCGTTCTAGATTTAACTTCATTATGATCCATATAAAAATGTGAAGATATTAAAATATGTTTCAAACCAGAGCAGAAGACTTAAAATAACACAACAAAATTATGAAATATCACAAGATAGGGCTGCTACTCCATCAAAGTCTGAGTTCATACCTCTGAGTGTCTATCTGTGTACTTCACACTTGATCAGTTTCCCATCCCTCCAATAAAGTAGCCATAAGGGATTTTTGTTTATTGAAAATTTGTGTAAACGCTGATCTAGAAAAGTAGTTTGTTTTGTTTTTAACTTTTGTAAAAGACAGCAGGTATATTACTAAACATGATTTGAAATCTCAACTTACTTTTCTATCACTAACAGAAATCCTGTAAGGAAAAAAAATTCATCCCAGTCTACTCGATGGATCATAGTCAAACCCCTCAGTCTTGCATGCAACACTGTTTACTGTCTCCACTTACATTACAAATTAAATTACAATTCCCCATCCCCGAAACAAAACTGTTTTAACCATGTGAGTCTTCTTAACAATTCCTATTATATATGCTATTATTCCTCTGTATCTTTGTACACGTTCTCCCACCCAAAATATCTCTTCTCTATTTCTTTCAAACCATCTTACTTCCAAATATTCTTCATGATAGCTCATATTAATCTTCCCAGTTACCTGAATCCCCAATAGTAAAGAACGCCTTAAAAGAACAGAGAAAAAAAATTCCTCAATATTTAAGCTAGCTGCATTACTTTGAAATCAAAGGATAAAGTCAAGAAAAAGCAAAAAGTGAGACAACTTGCAGCTAATTTCCATAAGGCACAGGGAAATTCTTTTAGTTCTTAAAAATGTTTGTTTTTCTTGGTGCAATATCCCCACCCTGTGGACATCTAGGATATTATTAATACCATTTCTGCCGTGCTGCATTTTTCACAAGCATAGGCAGAAACGGAATGCAGGTGAACATAATCCTGTATCCTTAGATATTCTCAGCTAATTAGAAAGTGGTATAATCTCAAATAACTTAAATGTTAAGGTATTTTCTCCATAACTATTAACTAAATTTCTCTTTACTGTCTACTTTTGAGTATCCTCAAGTTCTGGGTAGAGGTTTAATAATATAGTTACTGGCTTTATGAAGCCATAATGAGAAAGAACCAGTGGAATGAGACTAAGAAAAAAGCATAAATAAGATAGCATTAAAAGCTTTTACCCACTGGGCAGGCTGGAAGGGGTCAATGGGGAAAGGGAGAAGACATATGTAATACTTTCAACAATAAAGATTTTTTTAAAAATAAAAGCTTTTACCCATCTATAAATGCCATATGATGTCTCTGAAAAAAATGACCAGTCATGCCCTGGCCATGTGGTTCAGTGGTGATGCATCAGCCCATGTACCAGAAGGTCTCGGGCTCAATTCTTGGTCAAAGGCACATACCGGGGCTGCGGGTTTATTCCCCACCCTGGTGGGGGTAGGTGCATGTTGCGCATGAGGCAACCAGTCGATGTGTTCCTCTCACATTGATGCTCTCTCTCTTTCTCTCTCCCCCTCCTTCCCTCTCTTCTACTCTAAAAATCAATGAGGATTAACAACAAAAAAGACCAGTCACAAAGTCTCACATTCTCCCTCTTCTATTATTACCTTTTTTGAGCCGTATACAATGTTGCACAATATGCATTTCCGTTCCCGTACCATAGTGACCAGATCTGAAGCACTCAACGTCACACCTGCAACGAGGAAGTAACATTTAGTAAACTTTCCCGCCCCCAGATCTCTTCTTAGATTCTTCTTAGCTTGGCAAAAATACAACTTTCACATCTCCCTCACCTCCACCCTGTTCCTCCCCGTCTTCTCATCTTGGTAAATGAAAGTTGCCATTTTCCAGGGGTAAAAACTTTGAGTATCATCCTTGGTCCCTCTATCTCACCCCATATCCACCCTCACCAGCAAATCCTGTCCCACCGTGAAATATATCCAAAACCAACTATTTCTCATCACTTAGCACTAGCCTGCTGATGTGACTTTCTATGTCTACTCTTATCCTTTTAGAGTCTATTCTCAAAACAGTAGCCAGAGATTCTCAGAATGAGATTCTTTTGAAATTTAAGTCAGATCACATAATTCCTCTGCTGAGAATCTTTTAACAGATTCCCACCTCACTTAGAGATCCAACGTCCATGTCATGAGCTACAAAGTCTGTTTCTCACTTTCTGACTCCATGCCCTACCACTCTCCCTCTATCCCTCCACTCAGTACCTTCCTTGCTATTCCTTGCGCACACCAGTGATTCCCCTACCTAAGGCTTCTATGTTTCCTGTTCTCTCTGCATGAAATATTTTTTCCTAAGATTTCTTTATGATTCTCATGGCTCATTCTGTCATGCAGCCTCATCAAGGAGGCCTTCCCTGATCTCCTGCAGAATATTTTCTAACCCTCGTTTCCACTATTCCCCTATTAGCCAGCTTAATTTCTTAATAGCACTGTGGTAGATTGTTTCCAAAGCCATATCTTCCACCCCATGTACTCTTTTGTAATGTGATCTTGTTATCACCACCTATCAAAAGTTGAGTCCAGCCAAAACAAGTTTGGCTCAGTGGATAGAGCATTGGCCTGTGGACTGAAAGGTCCCAGGTTCAATTCCGGTCAAGGGCATGTACCTTGGTTGAGGGCACATCCCCAATAGGGGGCGTGCAGGAGGCAGCTGATCGATGACTCTCTCTCACTGATGTTTCTAGCTCTCTATCTCTCTCCCTTCCTCTCTGTAAAAAATCAATAAAGTATATTAAAAAAAAAAAAAAAAAGTTGATTCCAGTCCTAGCCAGTTTGGCCCAGTGGATAGAGCGTCGGCCTACGGACTGAGAGATCCCAAGTTCGATTCTGGTCAAGGGGATGATTCTCTCTCATCGATGTTTCTAACTCTCTATCCCTCTCTCTTTCTCTCTGTAAAAAATCAATAAAATATATTTTAAAAAAGAAATACAGTTGTGCCAACAAAGTAGAGCTATTGCATTAAAATCTTCAGAGACTCCATTTTGTACTTCGTTATGCTCTCCCTATCCTTAACAGGATTTCCTCAAGTGATTTAAGTTGGTCAGCAAGAGAGCCTTCCAAATAATCACTATCTCGTAACACTGTAATCCATCTCAAAATCAATATCAGGATATTTCTCTGCCCAGGCTGAGTGGCTCAGTTGGTTGGAGCATTGTCCTGTATACCAAAAGGCTGTGGGTTCGATCCCCAACTAGGATGCTTACAGGCGACAACCAATCAATGTTTCTCTCTCACAAAGATGTTTTTCTCCTTCCCTCTCTTTATCCCTCCCTCAAATTAATACATATCCTCAGTTGGGGATTTTAAAAAATGAGAATATTTCTCCAAATATTTATCATGTAACTCAAGGCTGGAAAACACTGTTTAGAGTCGAAGAATTTTATTTGCAACATTGTTATATTATCCAATTTTACTGTTTAAACAAACTTGAGATAAGCAAGAACAGGCTGTTTGACGGTAGGTATATCTAATCTCCTTGGCCTTACCATGAGAAAGGGATCTGTCTTTTCATATGCCTCTAGCATTCATCACAACTAACCCAGTAGTACTTAACCTGTTAACCGAGGAGTGCCCTTTTTAATGACGCAACCTGTAATGGGCGCGTACTCTTTCACTAGGACGTGTCAGTACATCACGCCTGGAGGACGTAATTTCATATTATTATTATTTTTATTTATACTTAATTAAAATAAATGATATACATATTTTTCCATTTATTTATATATAAAGCATAAAGGAAAATATAAAAAAAATAGAAAAGAATACCAACAAAAAAATGGAAACATCGAATTAAAAAATTATAAATTTACAAACAATTATAAAGATTACAAAAAATATATACCGTCCCTCTCAGGGCGCAACATATATTTCCAGGACGTATTCATACGTCCTACCCTTTCCCGATATTGTTTACGTTTGACGTATTTATAGGTCCCGCTCGGTTAACAGGTTAAGACATTTGAACTTTGACATAACTTAGATTTGATATGACAATAATCCTATATAATAAAAGCCTAATATGTCAAATTTCGACCAGTCGCTATGATGTGCACTGACCACCAGGGGGCAGATGCTCCGACTGGTAGGTTAGCTTGCTGCTGGGATCCAGCTCTGGACTGGGCAAGACAGGTTAGACACACCCTGGAGCCCTCCTGTGGTCCCTCCCCAGTCCCAATCATGCACCGGTGGGGTCCCTCAGCCTGGCCTGCACCTTCTCGCAATCCAGGACTCCTCCAGGCGTGTCAGAGAGCTGGTTTCACCCAGGTCCCTGCAGCCCAGGCCAAGGGTCCTACCAGTGCAGGAATCCATGCACCAGGCCTCTAGTATACTATAAATCAATGAAGGAAAGCAAAACGTAAAAATTGATTTCTTAAGGGGAGGAGGTGGGACTCAGATTAGAATCCGTTTTTTGTATTCCAGATAACTTTCTATACCTCCACCTTAACCCTGACAGAACACTAATGGATTTCTAGTAAGCAAGACAGGTCAACAGAGACAGTGTTCAGTGACAGAACAAGTTTTGCCATTACCCCTACGTTGCCCAAAATGATCACTGGCCAGGCTGAGGGATTCCAGCCATACACAAATTTGTGCATGAAACAAAAATATGACTGGCATTTCTGGGTAGTCCTCAATTTGCTGAGAGGGCCTGCAAGAAAGGTTCAAGGCTCCTAGTTAGGTTGACAACAGAGGTCAGGAAGTATTTGGGGGCACATCAACATATAACTATAACTTTCAAAGGCTAATTCTGGATAAGAGTCTTACTGCTAGTTCTAAATTCTGGCTGGATCCTATTTCCCAAAGCAAGTGATTGGTGATTTCCTGCATTCATCAGCATTTTGCTTGCTAGAATTATTTTTATATTATCTGCCCTAAACCATATTTAGCAGGAATATATGCAGCAACCACTCTTTATTAATAAGCATAGGGCTAAAACAAAGATAGGAAGTTAAAAGCTGTGACTCAACATTAGAAGTTGAGCCCCAAGCAAGTGAAGCTGTTTGTTTGTATTACCCATCACCAGACAAGGAAATGGACAGGGCAGACCTTAATTCAGAATTAGAACAACTAAGGTTCCAATTCCTTACTCGATTCTGACTCTTGGCAAGAATTATATCCTAAAGGGAAAAATAACAGAAAAACAAAAACAAAACTGGGATAACACCAATCCTAACAAAATAATAAAAATACTAATATTAGCAAAAATTATTTTCTTTGTAGTAAAGTTTCTTTTTATCATTAATTCCATTTCTTTAACAAAAGCTTATTCAGATCTTGTTTCAACTTGTGACAGTTTTAGTACATTAACATTTTCATTAGACTGTATATTGTCAAGTTTCTTGGCATGAAGTTATATACAACCAGAGGTATGATGCACAAATTTGTGTATGGCTGGAATCCCTCAGCCTGGCCAGTGATCAGAGCCGATCGGGGCTGGCGAGACTACAGGAGGTTGGCTGGCCAGCCTGATTGGGGTGGCCAGTCAGAGGGAGGGACTGTAGCTAGCCAGGGGGAGGGAACATCAGAGGTTGGCTGCGGGAGCACACTGACCACCAGTGGGCAGCTCCTGCATTGAACGTCTGCCCTCTGATGGTCAGTGCATCATAGCGACCGGTCGACCAGTTGTTTAAGCATATATATATATATATATATATATATATATATATAGTCATTTATTTTCCTACTAGAGGCCCAGTGCACGAATTCATGCACCAGTGGGGTCCCTTGGCCTGGTCTGCTGGATCAGACCAAAACTGACTCTCTGACATCCCCGAGGGGTCCCGGATTGTGAGAGGGAGCAGGCCAGGCCAAGGGACCCCACCAGTGCACATTCAGGGCTGAGGAGGGACATGGAAGGTTGGCCAGCCAGGGAAGACTCCAGGTAGTATCTGGCCCATTTTACTCAGTCCCGTTCTGCCGGACTCCAGCAGCAAGCTAACCTACCAGTCGAAGTGTCTGCCCCCTGGTGGTCAGTGCACATCATAGCAAGTGGTTGAGCGGCCTTAGCATATCATTAGCATATTACACTTTGATTGGTTGAATGGACCAGACACAACATATTTGGCTTTTATTATATAGGATAGAATCTGTAGTGATAAATCCCTTTCATTCCTGATACTAGCAATTTGTATTCTCTGTTTTCCACTATCAGTCTATCTATAAGCATATCAATATTGTTGATCTTGCCAAAACCGGTTTGGTTCAGTGGTAGAGCATCGATCTGTGGACTGAAAGGTCCCAGGTTCGATTCCGGTCAGGAGCATGTACATTGGTTGCGGGCACATCCCCGGTAGGGGGTGTGCAGGAGGCAGCTGGTCAATATTTCTTTCTCATTGACATTTCTAGCTCTCTATCTCTCTCTCCCTTCCTCCCTGTAAAATATCAATAAGATATATTTTTTAAAAAAATAAATAAAAAATATTGTTGATCTTTTCAAAGAACCAACGTCTGGCTTTGTAATTTTATTTTATTTTTGTATTTCCCTATTTCATTAATTTCTTGTCATTTTTTAATATATATTTTTTATTGATTTCAGAGAGGAAGGCAGAGAGATAGAAACATCAATGATGAGAGAGAATTGATTGGCTGCCCCCTACTGAGAGACTGAGCCCACAACCCAGGCTTGTGCCCTTGATTGTAATCAA